CCCTTTTCTGTACAGTCTCTTTTTCTTTCCCTCCAAGCACAGCTCAGTGTTACATCTGCACCAGCATTTCCGCTAACGATGGTTCGTACAAACTGCAGTTTGCAAACCTGCTTCTTACCTTGGTTCAAAACTAACCGTGGTACCCAAGAAGACCAAAGCAGACTAGGGAACAAGGACTCTCATTCCAGTCTTAAGAGCAAACACTGCATGCGACATGGCATCGTTGAATTTAATGAGGACGAGAAATCATTCTAAACATAAAACCTACTGTCAATGGCATATCCCAAAACTTGCACTTATACCACCATTTACAGTCTTGGCCAATATAAATCTCGTCAGCTCTAGGCAGGGAACAGTGGTTGAAAGCAAAAGAGGTATATACAAATGCCAGGCTCTAAAAATACCCCCCGATAATGGAATGAAATGATTCTCAGCAATTGTACACACTCAGCAAGAGAGGTGGAAGAATACAAGTTTCTAAACAAAACTTATTTTAAACCAGCAACTATTTAAGACACCACTGCACGAGAGCTAAAATCCATTTTTTTCAATTGCCAGTGTCAAATTTTGGGGTGCCCAGCTCTTGGGAAGAGGCAATGACCCAGATCCACATTTGGTGATGGAACGGATTCTCTGAGGACTAGGATACTGAGAGCTACAAAAGGAAGTTATTGCCCAGTCAAGGTTTCCCAAGACTCTATTTACAGTGTGAATTAGCGGCAAGGTGTGACTGTACCGTTGAGTGTTTTGGCACAATGGAAAGATTTTCCTTTGGTGTGGTTTTCTGATGTCCACTCAATACACTGTCCCATCATCTAAACATTTACAGGAGTTTACAGTCTCTTTGATTGGGGTCCTTACAGTTTCTCCCTAGCATGGATTTTCTGATGTCTAGAGAGATTAGAGGAACTAGTAAACGTTTTCTCACACTGTGAGCATTTATACGGCTTCTCTCCTGTGTGAGTCCTCATGTGTTTCTTGAGCCCTTGACTCCACCGGAAGCTTTGCCCGCACTCTGAACATATATACGGTTTCTCGCCTGTGTGGGATCTCTCATGTTTAGCGAGCTGGGATCTCTGGATGAAGCTGTTTCCACAGTACGAACACTGATACGGCTTCTCTCCCGTATGCGTCCTTCTGTGCGCAGTGAAGTGAGAGCTGGAAATGAAGCACTTACCACAGTCCGGACACTGGTATGGTTTCTCCCCTGTGTGTGTCCTTTTGTGGGTTGTCAGGTGAGAGCTGTACGTGAAACATTTGCCGCACTCCGAACACTGGTATGGTTTCTCCCCCGTGTGGATCCTCTCGTGCTTTCGGAGCTGGCAGCTCGAAATGAAGCTTTTCCCACACTCTGAGCACACATATGGTTTCTCCCCTGTGTGGGTTCTCGTGTGGGTAATGAGGTCCGATTTCTGATTGAAGCTTTTGCCACAGATGGAGCATTTATGTGGTCTCTCTCCAGTGTGAGTCCACTTGTGAATAACGAGGTGCCGACTTTGATTGAAGCTCTCTCCACAGTCTGGGCACTTATATGGTTTCTCGCCCTTGTGGGTCCCTTCATGTATCACCAGTTGCGGCCTATACCTGAAGCTCTGCCCACAGTCCGAGCATCTATATGGTTTCTCTCCCGTGTGCACCCTTCTATGCCTTAGAAGGTTACAGCGAGTTCCAAAGCTTTTCCCACACTCAGTGCACTTGTACGGTTTTTCTCCTGTGTGGGTTCTTTCATGTATGAGGCGGCCAATTTTATCGCTGAAGGTTTTGCCGCAAACTGAGCATTTATAGGGCTTCTCTCCTGTGTGAAACCTCTCGTGGATAATAAGAGACTCTTTACGAGTGAAACTCTTGCCACAGACAGAGCATTTATGTGGCTTCTCCCCCGTGTGGGTTCTCTCGTGGATGATCAGATGTGCCCTGCAATCTGAGATTTTCCCGCAGTACGAACATTTATATGGTTTCTCTTTCTTCTGATTCTTGGAAAGGTGGTCAGAGGATGGACGGAGGGTTTTCCCACTGTCATAAGCAGCCTTTTTTCTTGCGGTGCCACAAGTTCCCTCTTGCAGTTCACCCACTTCGCCAAGAAAATATTGTTGCTGGTCTGGAACAAGCAAAAATCACCATGTAAATCATATCCCACACTAGAGGGAAAGGATTCCTCTAAGCAACATTTATAACAATCCTTATTTACTTATGAGCTGATACACACAATTATGAACTCTACACACCTGCCTCAAGTTAAACTCTGCATAAATTTGGCCCCCTTCCATTTTCTTCATCTTTAGACCTCCCCAAGGTCACACAGCAAGTTTCCATGGCCGAGTGGAGATTTGAACCTTGGTCTCCCAGATGGCACTCCAATACCCTAAGCTGGGGACCCCCCAGCTTTTTTGAGCCACATCTGGAACTCTGACACTTGGTACGCAGCCACAAAATGGCTGCCACAAGAGGCGGAGCCAATGACAAAATGTCAGGGAGTGAGGATGTGCCTAACTCTAATGCTAACTCTTCAACATTTCAGACAGGAGCTGTTTAATAGGATGCCTTTTAAAATGAACGTCTCAATCACAAATGTTTTCTAGCATACATGCAGCTTACCTTCCACCATACAGTGAAGATCTTAGTGCTCTGGTAGCAGCTGCTGCCGCTGAAGCGACTTTTTAAAAATCTCCAGATCCAACTAGATCTCCAACAGTCAATCAGAAGCCCTCCTGGGCAAAATTCCCACCTGCTTTCTAAAATCACTTGGCAGGCACCAAGAAAGGTGATGGCGGGCACTATGCTGCCTACGGGCTACTGTAAGCTCTTGGAGGATTGGCTACATTAGGGGTGTGTTGCTTAATATGCAAATGAGTACCTGCTACAAAAAGAGCCCTGAGTCCATATGCACTTGAAGTATGCAAGGTGCCGCTGAGCAACCAGCCCTCCACTACCACCCTCATCTCAACCTTCTTTCAGTGAGCTGGCATCAGATTTCCAAAGGTATAGCACTACTTTCCCCAGCCATGGGAGAATATCAAGATATTCCTGATAGGGCTGGAAAGCCAATGAGTTGCAGGGGTTAAAAGAGTTGGATTAGGATGGCAGAGATCCACACTCAAATCCCCACTCTGCCATGGGAGCTTGCTGGGGGAGCTTGGGCCAGTCACCCTCTCTCTCGGACCAACCTATCTCAACAGGTTGTCGTGGTAATTAAACACGGAGACGGGGAGAACTACATACCGCTTCTTGAGCTACTTGGAGGGAAGGCAGGATAAAAATAGTGACAGGGAAAGGAAGATAACAAAGGGCCACAGTACATGGCTCACGTGTACACACATGAACCTGACCTGGATAGCCCAGACTAGCCTGATCTCGTCAGATCCCGGAAGCTAAGCAGGGTCGGCCCTGGCTAGTACTTGGATGGGAGGACCTCCAAGGAATACCAGGGCTGTGACGCAGAGGCAGGCCATGGCACAAACCACCTCCGAAACGTCTCTTGCCTTAAAAAAAAAAGTCTAGCCCGCCACCTAGTGGTACAAAACGCTGAAAGAGCTAGGACTTCTGGCCGCCAGACTATCTTTGGATCTCCTGGCTATTCTACAGAAAATGCCATACGATAATAATATTTATTATTATTACATGAACCATTCTTAATGCTGAGTCAGACCACTGGCCTGCCGAGGTCAGTATTGCCTGCTCTGACAGGCAGCAGTTTCATGTACAGAGAGATCTTTCACATCACCTCCTATCCGATTGTTTGAACTGGAGATGGAACTGGGGACCTTCTGTGTGCAAATCAATCGCTCCACCGTTGAGCCACGGCCCCTCCCCCCAAAATAATGTGTATATACATGACTCTGTTCTATATTGGCTCAGACCACTGGTCTGGCAAGGTCGGTATTGTCTAATCTGACCTGTAGCTGCTCTCCATGGTCTCAGATACAGGTCTTTCACGTCACCTCCCATCTGATTCTTTTAAACTGCCAGGGATTGAACCTGGGACCTTCTGTGTGCCGAACAGATGCTCTGCCACTGAGCCACCAACCTGTTCCCAAGCTCACTTCTTGGCATTTCCCAAAGGCTGGCAAGACCAGGAGAGATATTGCCAGGGCAGGCAGAAGCCAGGTAGATCAAAGGCCCGACTCCACCTAAAGCAGCTTCATACTCAAGGGTTCAGAGGTCAGTGCTTGCCTCGTAAGTCACCACTGGAATTCTATTTAAAGAGAGCCAGTTTGGTGTAGTGGTTAAGTGCGCGGACTCTAATCTGGGAGAACCGGGTTTGATTCCCCACTCCTCCACTTGCACCTGGCTGGATGACCTTGGGCAAGCCATAGTTCTGGCACAGCTGTTCTTGAAAAAGGGCAGTTTCTGTCAGAGCTCTCTCAGCCCCACCTACTAACAGGGTGTCTGTTGTGGGGAGGGGAAGGGAAAGGAGTTTGTAAGCCGCTCTGAGACTCCCTTGGGTAGTGGAGGGCGGGGTATAAATCCAATCTCTTCTTCTTCTATTTGCACACAGAAAATTCCAGGTTCAGTCCCCAGCCTTTCCACTAAAAAGGATCTCATGGGCGGTGGTAGGGGAAAGGTTTCGAGAAAGACCTTTTCAGGTTGAGACTCTAGGCAGCGGCTGCCAGTCCAAGCCGAGTTGGCTGGACCACTAATCTGACTCGATTTAAAGCAGCTTTCGGCTCCATTTTAGACGACAGAAAAGGACCTCCATTGTAATGGTCCCAGAAAGTTCCAGGGACTAAGGAAGTTCAGGTCAGCCTGATGTCTCCTCCTCATCCTCATCCTCACCCTCTTGCAAGTTCTCCATCGAGAGCTCAAACTTCACAATGTCCGACGGGTCCAGCTCCGATTTGGGAGAGTCGGCTACCAATCCGTCCACGTCCTCTGAGATCTGAAATAGAAATCGGGATTTTGTTCATCTCTTTTGGAGCTGTGCAAAAAAATATAGAGTTTGTGGGATTTTGTAATCCACTTCATTAACGATATGTTAAATATTAGTTTACCTCATGATCCAAAGGTTAAATTATCGGGTTACATTAGAACTCTTGTCGTTTTTGTCAGATTCGGAATTTGTCTTACCCCTTCTTGTGGTTGCTAAACTAATATTTTCTGCTACATGGGGGTGGGGTGGGGACTCTTCTAGTATTTCAAATAAGTTTATGGAATGCTGGACTCCCGGTGTTCTGAAAAGATAACGCTACAGATGGAATTTCTCTTTATGTTTCCTATGAGCGATCGTGAGCAATCTTTGTGTGGTATTTATATTTTGAGGAATGACAGAATCAGTGTTATTATAAATCATTCTTTATTTATACTTCTGTTGCTTATGATGGGACCGTGTAACTTTTGTGTGTGGTGTGTGTGTGTTTGGGTCACTCACAGGAGAGGAGAATCAGGTCAGCCATTTTGGGTCCCCTTGGGGAAGAGAGGCAGGGGACAAATAAATTAAACAAACAAATATGGCACAAGCAGAAGGGTTGGGAAGGGCCTGAAAGCAAAGGCAATAACACTGGCCCAGTTTTCCCTACTAAACAATCCCCGATTCAGCCACTGGCCTACATACTAATACCAAAAGGGCGGAAGGGCATCTGCGGCAGATTCCCTCCTAGTTACACAGACTCCTTCCCCACAGAGTAGTCAGCAGGGCTATTTTTGGGCAGGAACACACAGGAATGGAGTTCCGGCTGGCTCCCAAGTTGGCCACGCCCAGCAGGAACTCATTAGCATAACAGGCCACACCCAACAGCAGAAACTCATTCGGATTGGCTACATTAGGGGTGTGTGGCCTAACATGCAAAGGAGTCCCTGCTACAAAAAAAAGGCCCTGGGTTTTGTCAACAAACAAGGTAAACAGAATAACAAGCAAAAGGTGGGTGTGGCTGATGACCACACTTCCGGTAACATGGGGTGTGTGGCCTAATATGCAGCTGTATTGTCATGGGTGTGGCCTAATATGCTAATGAGTTTCTGCTGTTGGGTGTGGCCTATTATGCTATTTCTACAAAAAGAGCCCTGGTAGTCAGTCAGTCTTTATGACAGCCCACAAGCCATTCAGATAGCGTTGCCAACCTCCAGGCAGGGCCTGGAGACCTCCCGGAATTACAGCTGATTTTGAGGCTACGGAGATCAGTTCCCCCAGAGAAAACGGCTGCTTTGGAGGGGCAGCCCCTATGGCATTGTGCCCTGGTGAGGACTTTCCCTTCCCCGAACCCTGCCCTCCCCAGGTTCCACCTCCAAATCTCCAAGAATTTCCCAACCAGGAGTTGGCAACCTGACCTACAGAAGCAGAACAAACAAGGTTGAATTAATTAATTAACCTAAAATCACGCCTCAACATATATCATCCATCCTAGCACACATCGGACAGGAAAAAAGGAGTTAAGGGTTAACAAAGAAAATTATACACAGGATACTATCTCGGCCCCTATTTTCATAGCAGAGGACAAAAGACGTAGCTACTTGTACTGGAGGTACTTGTGTAGCAATGTTTCTTCACCTTTTTTGGGTCATGGACCCCCTTTGTGGATCTAATGAAGCTACAAAACGTCTCATGTTAAAGCTAACAAGTCCTCACAGAGTCTCTTATTATACAAAGCAAGGACTGAAGCATCTCTATGAGTGATACTAACAATAAAGATACCAACTCCTGTACATCTACGGAAAAAGAAGAATTTCCAGGGTTTGACATTGACACCTTTTAAAGGGACTTGACATCAATTTTTGAAATTTTAGAACCTCCTTGGCCCATAAACAACTCTGAAATTAATATCTTCAGTGGTGGAGGACAGAGTTTTTTGAAGGCTGCTTAATTACACTTTAATTCCAAAAGTACACTGGTTTGCCGGGTTTAGCAGGGGGGTGGATGGGTACTATACCAATAAAGAAATAATGGCAATTAGAAAAATCTAGAAGTTATAATTTGATATTATTAATTTGTAACTGTTTTAGAGGGGTTTTTAATAGCTCTCTCTCTATGTGGTCTGTGAAAGAGGATTGTGATAGTTTATTGAGAATTTCAGCTGCTCTAAACGTATTACATTATCACTAAAAAATTTTTTTGAAAGAATCTAATAAAAGCTATGGATGTCCTCCCCAGAAAAACATCATAAAATGGCGTCAGCAACAACCATACATTACTTGACCGTGTGTGGGAGCATCTCGTACCCCTTTACACTTGTCTGAAGTGCAACAATACCTTACTAACACAATTTGCCATGAAAAATTATTTTTTTCAAAGGATGTTCCTTTTCCAGGAGAGTCCTCAACTCCACTTTGAACAGAGAAAAAAAGACGCGTTGGATTTATACCCCACCCTTTACTCGGCTTACAATCTCCTTCCCTTCCTCTCCCCACAACAGACACCCTGTGAGGTAGGTGGGGCTGAGAAACCTCTCCCGAGAACTGCCCTTGAGAGAACAGCTCTGAGAGCACTGTGACTGGCCCAGGGTCACCCAGCAGCTGCATGTGGACGCGTGGAGAGTCAAGCCCAGTTCTCCAGATTAGAGTCCCACAGTCTTAAACACTACACCAAACTGCCCTGGTGTCTACTAGGAAGGATTGGGGTGAGCTTTTCTTACCTTGTGCTCTGTTCCGTCGGCCTCTGGTGACCGCCACAGGAAATCCTCCGCAAGGGTCACTGCCTGGACACAAGTCTCGGGCCCCCGTTCCCTGACCCAGCACTGCATGTCCAGAGGCAGGATCATCAGGAACTGCTCCAGAATCACCAGCTCCAGAATCTGCTCCTTTGTATGCCTCTCCGGCTTCAGCCACTGGTGGCAAAGCTCCCAGAGCTGGCAGAATATCTTTCGAGGCCCCTCCGACTCCTGGTAGCTGAACTGCCTGAAGCGCTGACAGCGTAGCTCCAAGTTGGCAGTGTCCACTTTGTCCAGAATCTCTTCCTTCACTTCCACGGAAGAGTCCAGGCTTTTGTAGGCCTCGTGGTCCTCTTGATCACTCAGGCTCGGCCTGGATTGAGTTGGGCCTTCTCCTCCTGGCCACCGGTTGGCGTCACCTCCTCCCTTGGAAGAGCCCCAAAATTCTGTTGTCCTGTTCTCTGACAGGGGCTGAGGGAGGGGGGCGCCTGACCATCCTGAATGTGGAGTCTGTTCCGTCGTCTTCAGGAACGCCTCCCGCTGGACTCCCCAGCTTTGCTGTGGCCCCTCATCCGGTTCTTGTTTAATGTGGGGTGCGGTCACCCCACTCAGAAACTCCCCCATCATCCCAACTTGGACAATGTGAAGATCGCTGCCTCCCACTGCCAATCTCTCCCCAGCTTTGGGTTCTGCCATGTTCCGCTCCTCCATTTTGATCGCTGGCTACAGCCCTTGAATGAGAAAGGGGGTGGTGGTGAATTCAATAAGTGAATGAGGTTTGTTCAATTAACAGACTGACACCGTGTCTTGCAACTGAAGGACTGTGACATGTTCTCCACATAAAATCAACAGTTAATTTAGAAGAAGAAGAAGAGATTGGATCTATACTTCGCCCTTCACTACCCGAAGGAGTCTCAGAGCGACTTCCAATCTCCTTCCCTTCCCTACAACAGACACCCTGTGAGGTAGGTGAGGCTGAGAGAGCTCTCAGAGAACTGCCCCTGAGAGAACAGCTCTGAAAAAACTTATGACTGACCCAAGGTCACACCAGCAGCTGCAAGTGGAGGAGTGGGGAATCAAACCCAGTTCTCCCAGATTAGAGTCCGCGCTCCTAACCACTACACCGATCTGGCTCTCTTTAGGACTGTATCTCCCAGGGATTTGGATAGAGAGATATAAAGCTGGGTGTCATCTGTGTATTGATGACGTCCAGTTCCAGAGTTACGTGTGATTCCTCCTAAAGGCTTCATGCAGAGGTGGAATAACATGGGGCATAAGATCGCACCCTGTGGAACCCCACTAGACAACTCCCGCTGTTGGGTAACGCAACTGATTTACAAGTCTGATGGAAGCAGATTTGAAGTTTTGTTTCTGTCTTCAGCGTGTCAACAGCAGAAAGGAGCCTGAATGTTTTTAAATGGCAGATGTCAGTCTAGGCCAAATTTCTAATATCTGAGGCACAGAGGCCTTTTTCTGGGTTAAAACTGGTGGCACGCCCCTTCTAAAAATATTTCCTTTACAAAGTAAGAAATGACGGGAACAGAAATTAGCAAAAATAGTAACCAAACATAATCTCCTGCAGCCCTTCCTGCCCCAATTTGAGAAGAAATCATTGACAAGGTTAAACCTCCCTCAGACACACTTCCCTCACTCAAATGGCAAAGTATGGGCTGGTTTCCCTCTCCCCACCCCCCCAGAGCTGTGAGTACCGAGTTTGGGGCAACTGGGTCTTTGCTATGGTCTTCGCTGTCCTGAAGAGCGTTATTTTGTCTTCCAAAGACCATGTAGGCACAGTGACACAGAGCAGACAATAAAAAGGGCAATTGCGGCAGCACCTCCAAAATTGCCAAGGGGTATGGCCTTTCAAGGAGCTGCGGTGGCTCAAGTGGTTAAGACGCTGAACTGCAGGCCGTGGACAGTCAGTAGTTCAGCAGTTCGAGACCCGGGTGCCGCATGACGGAGTGAGCTCCCATCTCTAGTTCCAGCTCCTGCCAACCTAGCAGTTCGAAAGCAAGAAATTGCAAGGAGATAAATAGGTACCACTTCGGCGGGAAGGTAACAGCGTTCCGTGCGCCTTGGTGTTTAGTCATGCCGGCCACATGACCACGGAAACGTCTTCGGACAGCGCTGGCTCTTCGGCTTTGAAACGGAGATGAGCACCGCAACCCTAGAGTCGGACTCGACTGGCTTTCGAGCAAGGGAGCCTTTACCTTATGGCCTTTCAGAGTGCTCCTTTCTCCTTCACAGACATAAAACTGTCAGATCCAACAATAGGCGGGTGTTTACCCAGCAGGATCCCTTGGGTCCCAGGTGAAGCCAGGTGTACAGAACACAGTGCAACAAACAGAAGGATTTCCCCATAACTTGGGACCAGCGTTGCCTCTAAGCAGCTCACAAATTTTTGTCTTAGCTCAGGAAGGATGGCCCCAGAGCAAACTAATTCATGCAGTAGCCAAATCGCTTGCTCACAACTTTAATGCCAGTAGCGCACAAAGTAGAATTTTTGCTCACAAGACGCCACAGCTTAGAGGGAGCATTGCTTGGGACCCTTTTCTCCTGAACTTACTATTGCTGCCTTCACTGCCTCATCTTCCCCTCGCCTTATTAGTTCACAGCCTCCCCTTCTGGTGGTGCTGAAGGCAAAATAAAAGTTTATCCCAGGATAGCTGCACAGAGAACATGAGAACATAAGGGAAGCCAATGTTGGATCAGGTCAATGGCCCATCCAGTCCAACACTCTGTCACACAGTGGCCAGAAATACCAGGTGCCATCAGGAGGTCCAGCAGTGGGGCCACTAGGAGCCCTCCCACTGTCCCCCCCCCCAAGCACCAAGAATACAGAGCATCCCTTGCCCCAGACTGAGAGTTCCTATCTATACCTTGTGGCTAATAGTCACTGATGGACCTCTGCTCCATACGTTTATCCAATTCCCTCTTGAAGCTGTCCATGCTTGTAGCTGCTGCCACCTCCTGTGGCAGTGAATTCCATGGATTAATCACACTCTGAGTGAAGAAGTACTTATTTTTATCTGTTCTAACCCGACTGCTCAGCAATTTCATTCAGTGCCCACGAGTTCTTGTATTGTGAGAAAGGGAGGAAAGTACTTCTTTCTTGACCTGCTCTTTCCCATGCATAATCTTGTAAACCTTGATCATGTCAGCCCTCAGTCGTCATTTCTCCAAGCTAAAGAGCCCCAAGCGCTTTAACCTTTCTTCATAGGGAAAGTGTTCCAACCCTTTTATCATTCTAGTTGCCCTTTTCTGCACTTTTTCCAATGCGATAATATCCTTTTTGAGGTGTGGTGACCAGAACTGTACACAGTACTCCAAATGAGGTCACACCATTGATTTATACAGGGGCATTATGATACTGGCTGATTCGTTTTCAGTTCCCTTCCTAATAATCCCCAGCATAGTGTTGGCCTTTTTTATTGTAGTCGCATACTGTCTCGACATTTTCAGTGAGTTATCTACTATGACTCCAAGATCTCTCTCTTGGTCAGTCTCCACCAGTTCAGACCCCATCAATGTGTATTTATAGTTAGGATTTTGGGGCTGCGACATGAAGATTCAAGATTCTACTTTGGACTTAAAAGGATGTGTCTCTTACCAGGACGTGAGATCCTCGCTCCACTAGTCTTTGGGACTCAAGCTCCAGACCCCTTGTTTGCTGTTGTTGCCGTCAAGTAGTAGCCAATTTAGGGCAACCCCACAGGGTTTTAAAGGCAAGAGACCATCTGAGGTGGGTTGCCATTGCCTGCCTCAGCATCCCGTGACCCTCGCCTTCCTCAATAGTCTCCCATCCAAATACTAACCCTGCTGAGCTTCCAAGATCTGATGAGATCGGGCTAGCCTGGGCTATCCAGATTAGGGCAGAAGCTTTATAGCAGCCAGAAGAGTCAAGAGATCCAGGCAGCTCTGATAATGTCAAAATAATACCCTTTCAATAATAATGCAGAAAATTAAGCTTTCAGAACAGAACGGCCACAAAGCACAGTAATGCCTTCTATAAAATGTGTGTGTATGGGGGGGGGGGAGCTGCGGTGGCTCAAGTGGTTAAGACGCTGAACTGCAGGCTGTGGAAGGTCGGTAGTTCAGCAGTTCGAGATCCGAGTGTGCCGCATGACGGAGTGAGCTCCCGTCTCTCGTTCCAGCTCCTGCCAACCTAGCAGTTCGAAAGCAAGAAATTGCAAGTAGATAAATAGGTCCCCCTTCAGTGGGAAGGTAACAGCGTTCCGTGTGCCTTGGTGTTTAGTCATGCCGGCCACATGACCATGGAAACGTCTTCGGACAGCGCTGGCTCTTTGGCTTTGAAACGGAGATGAGCACCGCAACCCTATATCATCACAGCAAAGCAATGCTTTCTGGCCCAGATGTATTTTTGACAGTCAAAAAATGCACCCACCCACCAGCTTCACTACCCTTCCATCCTATCAAGGGCTGGCTTCTCAGATGCCTATTTTATCTTGTAGGGCTGCAGCACGCAGGAAAAATCCCCCTTTGCGAATCATACTGTAATATCGCCCTGTGTACAGATCCCCTGTTCGGAATCGTGCTGCAGTGCACACACACGGGGAGAACTTTATTGTTCTACGCCTGCACACACCAGTCCACACTTGTGAATTAGACTGCAGCGTACGTTAAAACAACAACAACAACACACACACACCCTTTTGTGATGAAGAACACATCCTTGCTGACAGTTTCAAATAAAAACACTACATTAAAAAAAAACATCAAGAGAGGGAACAGCCCCTCCAAAATGCCAGCAGTTCCTTAAGGGCCAACAAGCAGCAAAATCAATTTTTTAATAAATCGAGATTTCATTTCTCTTTCTCTCGCTCTCGGACACACACACAAACAGACGTCCATCAGGCCACTGGGTACCTGACAATGCTTGCAACCCACCCCGCGGGCGCCGGTGAAGCACCACGTTTTTCTCCACGCATCTTTTCCGGGCCCGATCCGGTCTCTGCAACTCTTCTTCTCCCTCTCTCCCCCGCCCATTCCCGAGCCCCATCATGCCTTGTCACTCACCGAGCGCCCCCCTAGATCCTCTGCAATTCCGTCGCCCCAGCAGTTGCTCCTGCGGGATGCGGAAGGGGAGGGGGGGAAGGAACCAAAAGGAAGTTTCCCCCCTGGAAGGGGAGAGGGTGGGGCAGGAAGGTGCCCCCCCCCCCCCCCCTTTTTTTTTTTTTTTGCACACCCTCCTCCTCTTCCCAGCCATTTCTGGTTCTCCTCTCTAGGCGTTAGCACTCAGTGAACTTAACCCATTTTGTTGCTCTAAACAAAAAAATAGCAAGGGGGGGGGCAAGAGAAGAGCAGCTGCCTCCTCCTCCTGCTGCTGCCTCTAGAGAGGCCCAGAAGAAATGGCCTTGCATCCTGTGCAGAAATCTGAGAGACCGAGATTAACTGCGAGAAAGGAAAATCCCAGCTGGCTCCTTCTTCTGTTTGCCTGCCGGGGTGGTGGTGGTGAGGGGGATGGATCTAGATGAATGGATAGGCTTGGTTTTGACAGTCCGCCTGGGAAGAAACACCTTCATACTGTAGCGCCTGCCGCGGTCAGGCTGTACCATTAAAAATAATTAATAGAGGAAAAAGAGGAGATTGGATTTATCCCCCGCCCTCCACTACCCGAAAGAGTCTCAGAGCGGTTTACAGTCTCCTTTCCCTTCCCCTCCCCACAACAGACACCCTTTGAGGTAGGTGGGGCCGAGAGGGTTCTTTCCAGAACTGCTCCTGACAGAACAGCTCTGAGAGAACCTGTAACTGACCCAAGGTCACACCAGCAGCTGCAAAAAGTGCTGTTGCAGTGATAGCACATGTAAGTGTCCTCACTGTTTATTTAGGTGGTTTCCCAAAAGGAAGTACCCAAAAGACAGATGGCACAGGGCACCATCAAAAAACAGAACCACAGGTTCTGCCCTTCATTGTAGTGCGGTACCATAAAAGTGTAACATGAATTAAGAACGATGGATCCAGTCAAGATCAATGCTCCCTCTAAGCTGTGAACTCTTGTGAGCAAAAATTCTACTTCGTGAGCCGCTGGCATTAAAGCTGTGAGCAAGCGATTGGGCTACTGCATAAGTTAGTTTGCTCTGGAGCCATCCTTCCTGAGCCGAGACAAAAATGTGTGAGCCGGAGGCTAAAAAACTGAGCTAGCTCACCCTAACTCAGCTTAGAGGGAACCTTGGTCAGGATTCCTACCTAAGGCCCCCTGAGATGATCCAAAAAAGCAAGAGTCCAGTCGCACCTTAAAGACGAACAAAATATGTAGCAGGGGATGAGCTTTCATGAGTCACTGCTCACTTCACTCACTTCGTCTTTTAAGGTGCGACTGGACTCTTGCTCTTTTCTACTGCTAGACAGACAGACGAACACAGCTGCCCACCTTGACCTACACCCTGAAATGGAAAGTCAAATCACAGGCATACACTACTAGTGAGGCACATGCAGGGTTTTTATGTTCGGTTTACTGTGGTTTTAAGGTATTCTGTGTTTTAGTCCTGACCTGGACAGCCCTGGCTAGCCCGATCCTGTCAAGAGTTCCTGAAGCGAAGCAGAGATGGGAGACCACCCAGAAAGCCCAGGGTCCCTACGCAGAGGCCGGCAGTGGCAAAACACCTCTGTTCACCTCTTGCCTCGAAAATGCCACGAGGGGTCGCCATAAGTCAGCTTCCGTTTGATAGTACTTTCCACCATCTCAGTGTCCGTTTTAATTTATTTTAATCCAGTTGTTTTATATTGTTGTTAAACAAGCCTGCTAAAATAAACTGAGGCTGTCGTGCTTTAATCCTGTTTCCGTTGCCGGGGTCCACCCCTGCTCCAAGGTGCTACAATAAGAACTCTCCCAAGGCCGGTGGGCATCACAGGTAGATTTGCCAACTCCAGGTTGGCAGATTCCTGGAGATTTAAGAACATAATAAGAACATAAGAGACACCAAAGGCCCATCCAGCCCAACACTCTGTATCACACAGTGGCCAGAAATACCAGTGCCACCAGGAGGTCCACCAGTGGAGCCAGGACATTAGAAGCCCTCCCACTGTTGACCCCCCCCAAGCACCAAGAAGACAGAGCCTCACTTGCCCCAGAGTCCCTATCTATCCCTTGTGGCTAATAGCCACTGATGGACCCCTGCTCCATATGCTTATCTAATTCCCTTTTGAAGCCGTCCATGCTTGTAGCCGCCACCACTTCCTGTGGCAGGGAATTCCATGTGTTAATCACTCTTTGGAGATTTGGGGGGGGGAGTACCTGTGGAGGAGAGAATTTGGGGAGGGATTTCACCTAGAACCGATGGGATACCATGCAGTTTTGCCCTCTGAAGCTGCCATTTCTTCCATGGGAACTGAACTCTGTAGGCTGGAGATCAGATGCAATTCCAGGAGATCTGCAGCCCCCATGTTGAGGTTGGTAACCCAAGTCATAGGACTACTTCCTGCCCGTGGCTAAGAAGAAGAGTAGGTTTTTATACTCTGCTTTTCTACGACCCGAAGGAGTCTCAAAGCAGCTTACAATCACCTTCCCTTCCTCTCAACAGACACCCTGTGAGGCAGGTGGGGCTGCGAGAGCTCTGAGAGAACTGCTCTTGAGAGAACAGCTCTGAGAGAACTGTAACTGGCCCAAGGTCACCCAGCAGGCTTCATGTGGAGGAGTGGGGAATCAAACCCGGTTCTCCAGATCAGAGTCCACCGCTGTTAACCACTATGCCGCAATGGCTCCGTAAGCAACCCTACCCTACAGCGTAATTAATCAACAGTGGTCTAACTAGTCCTCCACCCTAAAGACACACAGTGTGTGAGACACTGCATCTCAAAATGCAGAAGTTAACAAGGAAAAAAGATATCCCCCCCCCATGGCTACATACATTAATCAACGGGGCTAGAAATCCAGCTGTCAACGCCTAATCTTTTGATGCCAGGACAAATTATTAAGACCTCTGCAGAAGAGCAAAAAGATTTCCCCGTCTCTTCTGTGAGCTGAAGTGAAACTGTTTTCAGCAACTGCCCAGATTCTCTGAGATGCATACAAATACGCATGCAAACAAGAGTCCCTGTGCTTTGGTCTGCTGCAAGGCTGACTCTGGCTTTGCCCAGTTACTGCCTCTCAATGGACTTGCCTCCAATGCTAATGCTGATTTGCTTATCCTTTGTTCCTATCCCTATCATTGCTTTAGGCATGCTGCTCACCTTGCCCCCCCCCCCCAACAGGACACTGGCAAGTTTATCTAATGAAATGGTTGGTGCTGTCTGTTTTCCTAATCCAGTTTTATTAATTTGAAAAACTGCTCCAGGCTCGTGAGGGGTAGGACTGTTCATGACATTACAGGAGCTGGCCAACCAGTGCTGTGCAGGACCCATGGCCTCTTGAGCACAATTCTGCAAAGAAGTTGTGTGTCTGACCACATGGACCAAATCTGACATTTATTTATTTAGTTAATATGTACCCCACCTTTCTCCCCAATGAGGGCCCAAAGTGGCTGACACTGTTCTCCTCCGTTTCATCCTCACAACAACCCTGCGAGGTAGGTTAGGCTGATATCGGGTTGCCAACCTCTAGGTGGAGCCTGGAGATCTCCCAGAATTACATTTTCTCCCAAATGAAATGGCTGCTTTGGAGGGTATGCTCTATGGCATTATGTCCCACTGAGGTCCACCCCCTCCCCAAAACCCACCCTTCCAGGCTCCACCTCCAAATCTCCAGGAATTTCCCAACTTGAAGCTGGCAATCGTGGGCTGAGAGCCTCTGACAGAGCAGGGATTCAAACCTGGGTCTCCCAGATTATAGTCCAACACGCTAAGCACTACACCACACTTGGATCTCAATCTGTGCTTGTGTTGTGTGTGCCCAAATGGCTAATTTTGCTGGGTGCTACTTTGGTTTGTGTTTTTTTGGTGACAGTGCTCACTGGTGCTAAAGCATCAGCACATTGGGCTGACCAGCCCCACTCAGCCAGAGAAAGAGAAGAATAGCTTAATGGGGATCAGCAGAGGGAGGGGGATTTGGTGGAAATTGGCACAGTTTTGTATAAGAGCACTGGCACCTTTTTTTTAAACAAAAAAGCACAGGTGTCACTAAAGGGTGTGTTTTGGAGAAGGTATTTTGAGACTGCTCACACCGTGCCTTTTCCAACGGTAAGTAATGTCATTGGAATATTTTTGCGTAGATAAAACATCATGCAGGGTTACCTATGAAATCTTTTTTGCACCATGTCATAAGGATGCTGTTTTCCCCCCCCCCCCCCCTGCTCAGTCCCATCTGTGGTCTGAAGCTTCCCTCATACACAGCTTCAGTTTCATGCCACAAGACTGCCTACAGTCTAAGCATTCTTTCAGTTTCACTCCAGAATGGATCACCTGATGTCTACAAAGCCAAGGAGAACCGGACAGTCTTTCCTTCATGCTTTCTCTGGCTTCTCTTTTGCGCATGTGAATTGCGTGACGTTTGTAAGCACCAACCCACGCTCCCTGCATCCCCCACAGCTTCCGCATTTCTCTCTCTCATATGGATCGATTCGTGTCTCAGGAAATGTATTCGCTGAGTGAAACTTTTCCGACAATCTGAGCATTCGTATGGTTTCTCTCCCGTGTGAGTCCTCGTGTGAGTAATAAGGTTTCCTTTTCGGCTGAACTTTTTCCCACACTCCAAGCATTCGTAGGGTTTCTCACCTGTGTGGGTCCTTTTGTGTGTAATGAGATTGGCTTTCCGACTGAAGCATTTCCCACACTCCGAGCAATCGTAAGGTTTCTCTCCTGTGTGGGTTCTTTTGTGCCTAAAGAGGTCTATTTTAAAAATAAAGCCTTTCCCACATTCTGAGCACTCGTATGGTTTCTCCCTCGTGTGGGTTCTCTTGTGAGTAATAAGGGTTGGCTTGCGACTGAAGCATTTGCCACACTCAGCGCACTGATGTGGTTTCTCTCCTGTGTGTGTTCTCCTATGCGTAATGAGGTTCGGTTTGCGGCTAAAGCATTTCCCACATTCCGAGCATTCGTATGGCTTCTCTCCTGTGTGGATCCTCTTGTGCCTGAAAAGGTCCGTTTTGAAGATAAACCCTTTCCCACACTCGGAGCACTGATGAGCTTTCTCTCCCGTGTGGCTTCGCTTGTGCCTAAAAAGGTGCGACTTCCAGCTGAAGCTCTTCCCACACTCGGAGCATTCATACGATGTGTGAACTGCCTCGGGGATGCTTAGCAGGGGTGGTCTCTGACTGGAGATTTTTCCACGGTACGTGCACTGATACCCTTTCTCTGCCAACTGTGTTTCCTGGTTCTCAGTGAGGTCAAAACTCTGAGGGGAGTTTTGACTAGCAGAGCTAGCTAATTTTTGTCCCTCAGGCCCGCAGACTCCATCTTGGAAAGCACGTCCATCGAAGCCCAGGTTGGGTTCCGCGCAAACATCTGTTGCCTTCCCTGGATCGTTTTCCTGTTGACTTTCTGGCCCCTCGTGCCTTGTGGGCAACTCTTTTTCCTCACGATCCTGGGAAAATGGCCCTTCTGCTCCCCCCAATGATGCTGCACTGAAGTCTGCTTGCTCAGGTGTCCTGTTGACTTTCTGGCCCCTCGTGCCTTGTAGGCAACTCTTTTTCCTCACGATCCTGGAAAAATGTCCCTTCTGCTCCCCCCGATGCTGCTGCACTGAAGTCTGCTTGCTCAGGTCTTGTTATCATTTCCTCAATCTGCTGGACTTGCTCTTCGCCTGTTGGGGGTGGGAAAGGAAACACCATATGAATGACACTCTATGGGACAGCACGGTAGAGGACCCATTTGTTTTACTGATTTAGTTTATCAGATTTTTATCCTGCCCCTCCCCCAAAATGGGGCTTGGGGCAGATAACAGTACTGTAACCAGGGGTCATTTTGTAGAAAAAGAGGTGCAGGAGCTCATTAGCATAACTCATTAGCATATGCCACACCCCCTGACATCACCGGAAGTGTGTCAGAAGGCAACACCTACCGCTCAGGCTCCACTGGACTGTTTTGGATTGCTAGCTATTGGGGGGGGGGTGCAGATCTGTCCTCACAGAGGAGGGAGAGCTTGTACCTGAATAAAACCTGGTCTTAGAGGTGCCACTGGACTGTTTTGGACCGGGGGGCTAGGGGGGGGGCTCTGCAGCTTACCTGGCTGCTTCTTGCTCTGACTGAGGGCTCCTGGGAGCAGGGGGCGGGGCTTGTTGCATGTGCCCACCCCCTGGACTCTTTACTGCCGGAGCTCCACTCCTGTGCGCTCCTGCAGGAAATGACCCCCGACTGTAACAATAATAAAACCAAGTCACCGACGACTTATGGTGACCCCATAGGGTTTTCAAAGTAACAGACGTTGAGAGATGGTTTGCCATTGACTGCCTCCACTTCATGACCTGGGTTTTCCTTGGTGGTCTCCCTTCCAAATAACCAACCAGGGATGGCCCTGTTTAGCTTCTGAGATCTGACAATATCGGGCTAGCCCGGGCTATCGAGGTCGGGGCAATAGAAATCCCGTTAAAACTCGGCACATAAACTTTTGGCATAAAAATTGACAGCATTGTTGGCAAGAGTCTACCAAAATTATATTCGAGGGATGCTTGGTGGGATAACTCTGTCTTAGATGCCCCGCAGAATGCAGACAAGTCCTGCAGGGCACTAGTCTCCTCAGTCGGAGCATTCTGGGGCCGTGATGGGAAAGGCCCTCCCCCTTGTTCCACTCATAGGGGCGAATCAGGGGCCAGGTACCACTAGAAGTCCACGTGCGGTTGAACAAAGACACAGTGGGGGTCGTAATGGGAGGGGTGAAATCAAATTCAATATAGATTCATTGTCTCATAGATGCAATTTCTCACCCACTGAAGGATTCCGCTGGAATCTGCTGTGAGGCAATATTCCATACTGAAGAATGAAGAAAGATGAGTGACTGGCAGCCATTTTGACTGCAAGGAGAGGCTTAATGTGTGGAAATGGGCAGCTGCAGCTTTTTGTGGCACGAAGGTAAATAACTTCAGCTGGTAATTAACATCCCTCAAAGCCTCTTATTAAAGGGACAGGGCGTTTTCTCCATGCCTGTTGAACCTGGACCACCTGTATGCAAAGCAGATGTTCCATCATAGGAAACTACCTTATACCATGTCAGGTCTTCCACCCATCTAGTTCAGACTGGTCTTCTGCAACTGGCGGCAGCTTTTTAGGGGTTCGGGCAGGGAGAGAAACAGAGTGAGACAGAGAGAGAGAGCAAGAGTGATTTCCCAAGACCTGCTGCTGAAGATCCTTTAACTGGAGAGGCCAGGCATTTGAACATTTGGTGTCCATCTGCATGTAAAATACACACTGTCAAGGGTCAGCCAGAGCTCAGCGACAGTGAGGACTCCTCAGAGGAGGGGTCCTGCATAGCCAGTCCAGAGTTGACAGAAGCCAACCAGCTGGAAAATGAGGGGCAGGCAAGCCAGGACTTGCAACCAAAAGCTGGTTTAGAATGATCTCCACCCTCCAGCTCTAATTCAGCAGCTAAAGGTCAGTTAGCCACTCCCAGTCCTCTGGAATCACCTACACCTTTGGAATGCTGCAGAAGAACACTGAGAACAGAGTTACAGGCTAGAAGGCAAAGTGCACGCCTCTTGGCTTGACACCAGTGGCCTATTGATAGTGAAGATGAGTCTTTACAGGACTGTCCTTAGAAGCTGGCTGTTTGTGTGACATTTGGGCATGTGGCTATACAGTCTCCCAAGAGATGCTTTTGGGCGTGAATGCGATACATACCTTAGACCTGAACTGCTGACATTGCCTTGATTGATTACTGGAAAACCTGACCTTGGATTGAATGACTCGGGACTTCAGAGACTCCTTGTTATCTTTGAGGAGCAGCAAGAGATGCTGTAACCTGATAGCAGAAGCCGGCAAGCTAGTATACACACACCCTGGTTTTGTGTCACACTGGGAACGTGACCAGAATTGAAACGCCAACACTAAAAGTCTTCCTTACCAGAAATGAAATTTAGCATACATATTGTTGATCAGCCGTAGATGATCTGCTTGGCATGCATAAGGTTCCATGTTTAATCCCTAGCCTCTCCAGTTCAAAAGAGCAGGTAGGAGCTGATGGAAAAGACCTCTGAGACCTTGGAGAGCCTCTCCCAGTCAGAGTAGACAATACTGACCTCATTGGACCAATGGTCTGCCTCAACAGAAGGCAGTTTCATGTTCATGTGATATATGCTTCTTCAAAAGACAGAGGTCAGTAGAGGTCACTTGAGGCCCTGATCCTTACCCAGCAAGCTGGCCTCATGTTTGGCCTCCACAGAGAACTGCATATTCAGGGAGTCGGGTGGATCGTCCTCGGACTTGGGGGAATTAACAGCCATATATTCCAAGGGTCCTTGTCTCTGAAACAGAAGATACAGACAGTGTTTAGCAGTCAGAGATTTGGGAAGGAGGACTGTGGCGTCCTCTTATTTGGGGAGGACTGTTTATCACTTTAAATTTTCTCTTTGTGTTTTATGCGGGGTAGTTTCTGCTGCCACCAGGAATTTTTGGAATTCCAAACCTTCTCTCCTTTGCTGCTGGTAATGGGACCCAGAGTCTGGGCTTTTCAGGGATCTATGTGGTCCTGAGGAAAGATAGAGCTGAATTCTGGGATAAGTTTAAAAAAAGATGATTTATTGAAATAAGAACAAAATATGAGGCTGGTTATTCTGTAACTGTTTGGGAATAAGGGACTTGTAAATATGTCTGTCAAATGTATCACACACACTGTCCTTTTGACATTAAGATCCCACTCTGACAGGGATCTCTCATATAAGCAGCCCCACAGGCTAAGCTCTTGGTAATTTTAACTTCCTTCCAGATCTTTAGAGTCTCACTTTTGAAGACCTGTATCCTAGGCACGGACAGCGTGTCACAGGCCAAAGGCTTTAAAAATTGATAAATCGGATGGCGTTCTCTCACCTTTTGCCTAGCACCTTCAGCCTCTCCTTGCCTGAGGAGAAAATCTTCCGCCAAGGCCACCGCCTGGCTGCCGGTCTCGGGGCTACATTCCCTGACCCAGCTCTGCATTTCCTGAGGCAGAATGAACAAGAACTGCTCCAGGATCACCAGCTCCAGGATCCGCTCCTTGGTGTGTCTCCCTGGCTCCAGCCATTGATGGCAGAGATCCCAGAGTTGGCTGAAAGCCTCTCGGGGTCCCTCGGCCTCCTGGTAGCAGAACCACCTGAAACGCTGGCGGCACATCTCCAAGCCGACCAGGACCTCCTCCGGCATCTCTTCCTTTACTTTGACGGAAGAAGCTGAGGGCTCGTAGGCCTCTCGGGTCTCTTCACTCAGTTCTGGCGGAATTTGGGCCATGCACTTCCCTCGAGGCCATTGGGTGACACCAGCTACTGCCATGAAGGAGGCCTGGAACTCCTTGGAGTCCTCTTCTGGCCAGGGCCGAGGCAGCTGCGGATTGCCCCACCCCGCATGTGGGAACTGGGTCGTCTTTGGGAATCCCTGCCGTTGGACTTCCCCGTGCTGTCGTAACCCTTCAGCCGGTTCGTTCTTGATGGGTTGTGGAGCTGTCCCTGCCAGAAACTCCCTCACGGTTTCTAGTTGGAGAATGTGAGGGAGTCCTCCTCCCAAATCCAGGCGTCCACTTGTTGGAGATCCGGCCAAACTCTGCCCCTCCATTTTCGTTCCCGGCTACCGTTCTAGTACCAGAAAGAAAATTCATTTTAATAAGAGCAAGGCAATATCAATATCTCTACAATCTAGCACACGTTTATCGTGTCCTTCTTCCAAGAAGCTCAGGGTAGCGTACGCTGTTCTCCCTTCCCCCATTTTAACCTCACAACAACCCTGTAAGGTAGGTTAGGCAGAGACGACTGGCCCGAGGTCTCCCAGCAAGATTCTGGGCACAGCAGGGATTTGAACACCTAGATCCTCCTGACCTGGGTGGCTCAGGCTAGCCTGATATCGTCAGACCTCAGAAGATAAGCAGGGTCAGCCCTGGCTAGTATTTGGATGGGAGACCTCCAAAGGGTCATGGCCTGGACCACCTCTGATCATCTCTTGCCTTTTATTTATTTATTTAGAAGAGGAAGAAGAAGAGATTGGATTTATACCCCGCCCTTCACTTGGAGTCTCAGAGCGGCTTACAAACTCCCTTCCCTTCCCCTCCCCACAACAGACACCCCGTGAGGTGGGTGGGGCTGAGAGAACTCTGACACAAACTGCTCTTTTTCAAGGACAGCTGTGCCAGAGCTTGTGACTGAACCAAGGTCACATCAGCAGGTGCAAGTGGAGGAGTGGGGAATCAAACCCGGCTCTCCCAGATTAGAGTCCGCACACTTAACCACTACACCAAACTGGTTATTCAATTGTTCAATTTCTGACTCGCCCACCCCTGCTACTGCAGGCCTCAGGGCGCAGCAGCAACATATTATAATAACAATAATCATAAATTAATTAAGACAGTTTAACATATACAAGTTTAAGTTACCAACTGTACCAACAGATAACACACAAAAATGACAATAAAAATGAGCCGCTCCGGCTGGGAGGACAGGGTAGAAATTTAATAAAATAAATAAATTAATTAAATTAAATATAGAATTTTCCACCTCAGGGAAAGATCTGGTCATGCTGGGGGAAGGCCAGAGGAAGGGAGCGAAAGGAGGGCCCCTCAGAGAGTCTTGATTCTTTTCTGTCAGGAGCCTTGGCCACAGGCCTGATGGAAGAGCTCTGTTTTGCAGGCTTCGCAGAACTGTGACAGGTCTCGCAGGGGTTGCCCTACGTCAACTGCGACTTGATGGCGCACACACACTCCCGGATCCTGTTCTGACACACTATACCATGTTGACTCCTAAACATAGACCAACGTAAGTCTGGGGAGAGGGGGTTCCAAGCACACCACAGAGGCCTCAGCCCGTCCTTCCTGCTATCCTCCGACGACTGGAATTTAGGCAATTATTGCTTCTGACACTGTGGTCGTCAGCAAGCCTAGAGGAAGATATCCTGCCCCTTTAATAAGAGGCTTACTGTGTGGAACGGTGGCAAAGGGCAAGAGTCCAGGAGCGCCTTAAAGACTAACAACATTGGTGGCAGAGGAGGAGCTTTCGTGAACCACTGCTCACTTCTTCAGATACAAATGCTCATCCCCTGCCACGCATTTTTGTTAATCTTTCAGGTGCTCCTGGACTCTTGCTCTTTCCTACTGCTACAGACTAACACGGCTATCCAGCTTGATCTATCATAAGAACATAAGAGACGCCAATGCTGGATCAGGCCAAGGCCCATCCAGTCCAACACTCTGTGTCACACAGTGGCCAGAAATACCAGGTGCCATCAGGAGGTCCACCAGTGGGGCCAGGACATTAGAAGCCCTCCCACTGTTGACCCCCCCCCCCCCAAGCACCAAGAAGACAGAGCATCACTTGCCCCAGAGCCCCTATCTATACCTTGTGGCTAATAGCCACTGATCTGTGCGGAAATGAGCAGCTGAAGCTTTTCGTGTCCTGGAGGCAAATAACGGCACCTAGTAAATGACATTCTGTTAACAGTGCAATCCTAAACAAAGTCATACCCTTACCATTCTGTTGACTTCAATGGACTTTAAAAGAGTACAACTCTGTTTAGGACTGCACTGTAAGTCTCTGTTAAAGGGACAGAACATCTTCCCCCCTAGGCTGTTGGAAGCCCTAATTATGACTGAACGACTTAGACAACTGCCCTGTTCCCATAGGAATTAATGGGGGGGGGAGGACCTTCTCTGCCTGAGGCCTTGGAGAGCTGCTGCCAGTTAGAGAAGAAGAAGAAGAAGAGAAGAGATTGGATTTATACCCCCGCCCTTCACTTGGAGTCTCAAAGCGGCTTACAAACTCCTTTCCCTTCCCTTCCCCTCTCCACAACAGACACCCTGTGAAGTGGGTGGGGCTGAGAGAACTCTGACACAAACTCTAACAGAACTATGGCTTGCCCAAGGCCATCCAGCAGCTGCATGTGGAGGAGTGGGGAATCAAACCCGGTTCTCCCAGATTAGAGTCCGCGCACTTAACCCCTACACCAAACTGGAGGAGGAGGCAAAACTGAGTTAAATGGATATAAACCAGCTTTTGAGGTTCAGCGGCAGAATGCTTTGTTTGCATGCAGGATCTCCCAGGATTGATTCCAGGCACCTCCAGTGAATGGATCGGGAATAGGCATATTTGGGGGGATGGGTCCCTTCTCTGTCCGAGGCCCCGGAGAGCTGCTGCCAGACAGTACTGAGAGAGACTGATCGGCTGTCTACAAGGGCATAAGGCAGCTTTCCTGTGTAAGGAAAGGATGTGCCAGGAGAAAGGGCTGGGGCTCAGCGGGCAGAGCACCGGCTTTGAATGCACAGAGTCCTTACAGCAACTTCAGGCATCTCCTGTTAAAGGGATCTTGGGTGCTGGGAAAGACCTTTCCCTGCCAGGGATCCTGAAGGTCAGCTGCCACTCAGAGGACCCAACGCTCAATTAGACATAAAGCGGACTCTTGGTTTTTCCTTCATGATCTACCGAGTTATTTCCAAAACTCACCTCTCCCAGTTACCGGCTTGGCTGCAGCCCCTGGAAACATGCAACAGAAATATGCCCACCTTCAAAACTACCCTCAATCAAGGCGGGATCTTTCCACCAAGCCATGGGGGAGAAACAAGAAAAGGAAGCCCATCCAATTCGGCCCTCCAGCCAGGCCTCTCTAGCAAGCGGAGCTCTCTCAGTTTAACCCCTTGTGTGGAAAATCCAGAAAAAACTGCCTGGCCCGGCATTGACAAGGAAGGTGGTATTGAATCCAGAACCAGGCCCACTCTTGGAGGCTGTGCCCTTTGTCAGCTTCAAGCCCTGGCCCTCTAAGCATCAGCACTGTCGATAATGTGGGAAGGCACTCTGCACCTGCCCAGAGGCACTCTCGCTAGTTACTGAAAACGTTTTCTCTTCTCGCATACATTGTGATAACCTCATGTTCTGAGAAATTTTTTAAAAACACCTTTTTTAAAACCATCCATCTCCTCAGGTCAATTCTTTGCACCTCTAAGTACCAAAGATTTTTTTCCATATACATTAATGGCATTTTAAAATTGATTTCCCGCCCATATTCTCTAGTTCTTTTTGTGTCCTGTTTCTAGGTGGAAAGCCTTTATCAGGGATTTGAGATGGGGTTTTTTTTATAAAGATACTGAAGTTGTAAGCCCGTGGCACAACGATCATCAATAAATGTTTGGTAATTAATTATATTAATCTATTTACTTTATTCATATCCCAATTTCCCTCCATTGGGGACCCAAAACACCTGACATCATAAGAACATATAAGAACATAAGAGATGCCAATGTTGGATCAGGCCAAAGGCCCATCTAGTCCAACACTCTGTGTCACACAGTGGCCAAAAATACCAGCTGCCATCAGGAGGTCCAGCAGTGAGACCAGGACACTCGAAGTTGCCCCTCCCCCCAGCACCAAGAATACAGAGCATCACTTGCCCCAGACTGAGAGTCCTTATCAATACCTTATGGCCAGGGCTTTTTTTGCAGAAAAAGCCCAGCAGGAACTCATCAGCATAACAGGCCACACCCAACAGCAGGAACTCATTAGCATAGTAGGCCACACCCTGACAGCACAGCATATTAGCATATTAGGCCACACCCCCATATCACCAGACGTGTTGTCATCCAGCCACATCCACCTTTTGCTTCTTATTCTGTTTACCTTGTTTGTTGTCAAAACCCAGGGCTTTCTTTGCAGCAGGAACCCTTTGCATGTTAGGCCACACACCCCGAATGTAGCCAATCCTAATGAATTTCTGCTGTTGGGTGTGGCCTATTATGCTAATGAGTTCCTGCTGGGCGTGGCCAACTCAGGAGCCAGCCGGAACTCCGTTCCTGTGCGTTCCTGCCCCAAAATAGCCCTGCTTATGGCTAATAGCCACTGATCATTCTCCTTACCTCCATTTTATCTTCACAAAAGCAAGAGTTTGGGAGGGAAACCTCAGCAAGATACAATACCATAGAGTCCAGTCTCCAAAGCAGCCTTTTTCTCCTTGATAAACTAGCTCTAATTATTTCAGTTTTTGACAGCCTCCGTTTTCTTTCCCACGCCTGTTTGGAAATGTGGAACAAATGTAGAGTCCAGTGGCACCTTTAACACCAACACAGGTTTATTCAAGGTATGAGCTTTTGTGTGCAAGAAACCCTTGTTCATATTTGTTCTACTGCCTCAGACCAACACAGCTGTCCATTCTGGGTCTATCTGTTTGGAAATGTTTCACTTTTCATTTGAACAGCAAACCTCTGGGCACACACCACTCGGACCGGAGTCCTCTTCACACAGACAAGGACGTTTATGTGTGCTGGGAAAGGGTTGTTGTCTTGGGAACTGTATTGCAGAGCCAGAGTGTTGGGCTAAGATCTGGGAGAGGTGACGGTGGAAAGTGTCATCAAATCACAGCTGACTTATGGAGACCCCCACAGGGTTTTCAAGGCAAGAGACGTTCAGGGGTGGTTTGCTATTGCCTGCCCTAGGGAGTGATGCAGAAGAGTGATGCAGAAGAGGAGGAGGAGGAGGAGACAGGATTTATACCCCACTCTTCACTAAGGAGTCTCAGAGCGGCTTACAACCTCCGTCCCTTCCCCTCCCCACAAAAGACACCCTGTGAGGTAGGTGGGGCTGAGAGAGATGTTTCGAGAACTGCTCATGATAACAGCTCTGAGAGAACTGTGGCTGACCCAAGGTCACCCAGCTGGTTGCACGTGAAGGAGTGGGGAATCAAACCTGTTTCTCCAGATTAGAGTCTGCCACTCTTAACCACTGCAGCCAGGGGTGGCCAAACTGCAGCTGAGGAGCCGCAGGTGGCTCTTTCACACAATCTAATTTAATGTTAATAAAAAGCAAATTTGTAGATTTCTCAGTAAAAATGTGTGTGTGGTATTTGTTCATGTCTTGTGGCTCTCAAACATCTGACGTTCATTCTATGTGGCTGCTTCATTAAGCAAGTTTGGCCACCCCTGCACTACACCAAACAGGAGGGGAGTCATCCAGGGTGACAAACCCTGCTGCTTCAATCCTATCTTAAGCTATCCCTTGAAAGCTTGGCCGTGGCTCTGTGGCTCTGTGGTAGAAGGTCCCAGGTTCAATCCCCAGCATCTCCAGTTCAAAGGGCAAGGGGTAGAAATTATGTCAGGTTATATTTATTTATTTATTTATACCTTCGGCTTATATACCGCCCTGACCCCGAAGGGACTCTGGGCGGTTTACATAGTGGTTCTAACCAACCAATTAACCTGACTAGGGCCACATTGTCTACAGGGTGGTGACTGCCTACCAGCACCCATACATTATGTATGGGCAAAAATCTGAATGTGATGGCAGCATTTCTAGAGCATTGGCTGATGTCTAATGTCATGTTAGACCTCAACAAGGTATAACGCCATAGAGGCCGCCCTCCATAGGAGCCACCTCAATCTGGCCACCTGGATTGATGCCGCCGTAACATTGATTTATTATCAGACTAGACTACTGTAATGCACTGTACGTTGGTCTCCTCTCAAAGTTAATGTGGAAACTCCAACTGGCGTAGAATGCACATTACTCCCATTCTGCAGGGACTCCATTGGCTCCCCATTTGTTATCGAGCTCAGTTTTGAGGTCTTGGCAATCACATGCAAAGCCCTCCATGGCACTGGCCTCTCTCCCTATGTGCTGCCATGACAACTTGGCTCCTATCAGCAGGGGCGTCTCCAAGTGCCAACCTGCAAATGGGCAAAATCAACAACTGCCCTGTTGTTTTTCCATTGTGGCTCCCGCCTTGTCAAATGGCCTGCCCAAGATCAGGAAAGCTCCCTGGCTTCCTGCAAACTGAACTATTCAAGAGGGCTTTTCTGTGAAGGTAATAGGGTTGCATTCAGTGTTCCCTCTAAGCTGAGTTGGTGTGAGCTAGCTCAGTTTTTTAGCCTCCAGCTCACAGATTTTTGCCTTAGCTCAGGAAGGATGGCTCCAGAGCAAACTAATTTATGCAGTAACCAAATCACTTGCTCACAACTTTAATGCCAGTAGCTCACAAAGTTGAATTTTTGCTCACAAGACTCCACAGCTTAGAGGGAGCATTCGTTGCATTGTACAAAATGGTTCACAAACTTACTTGGGTAAACATTTGAGACTGTGGTCTATAGTGTTGGCTATAGCTTATTTGTAAGCAGGCTCCTATTGTGTAATTTCTGTGTACCACTTAATTTGTCATGTTAAATACTTATGCTCTGCTTCAGTTCTTTCTCGTTGGTTTCAGACTTCTACAAGCCTAAGGCATTGTTTATTGAATGTCCCAATTTGTTGATTGTATTGACTCATGATGTGTAATCCACTATGAGTCCTTATGAGATGGGCAGGCTATAAAGAACACAAATAAATATATGTAATTTCTCAAGGGGAACTGATCTCTGCAGTCTGGAGGCCCATTATAATTCTTGGAGATCTCCAGGACCTACCTGAAGGTGGGCAACCTATGCTAGCCCAGGAAGAAGAGAAGTCCTCTTCAGGTCTCCAGAATTTTCCCATTCCTATTGGACTGTGGCTCAGTAAGAGAACATCTGCTTTGCATTAAGTGCAGATTTGTAGCACACATAGAATCTAGGATGGGAATCCGGAGATTTGGGGCTGGAGAGGACAGGGACCTCAGTGGGGTACAATGCCATGGAGTCCACCCTCCAAAGCAGAGCTATTCTCTCAAGAGCAGTCCTCAAGAGAGCTCTCTCAGCCCCACCTACCTCACAGGGTGTCTGTTGTGGGGAGGGGAGGGGAAGGGAAAGGAGATGTAAGCCACTCTGGGACTCCTTTGGGTAGTGGAGGGCAGTGTTCCCTCTAAGCTGAGTTAGTGTGAGCTAGCTCACAGTTTTTTAGCCTCCAGCTCACACATTTTTGTCTTAGCTCAGGAAGGACGGCTCCAGAGCAGACTAATTTATGCAGGAGCCAAATCGCTCGCTCACAACTTTAATGCCAGTGGCTCACCAAGTAGAGTTTTTGCTCACGAGACCCCACAGCTTAGAGGGAGCATTGGTGGAGGGGGGGGATAAATCCAATCTCTTCTTCTTCATCATCATTCATTTTCTCCAGGGGGATCTGATCTCTGTAATCTGGAGATGAGCTGCAGAAAACAGCAAGAGTCCAGTAGCACCTTAAAGACTAACAAAATATGTGGCAGCAGAGGAGCTGTCATGAGTCACTGCTTACTTCTTCAGATACAGTAAGTATCTGAAGAAGTGAGCCATAACTCGAGAAAGCTCCTCCCCTGCCACAAATTTGGTTAGTCTTTAAGGTGTGTTATGTATTGAAAACCATGTCAAGCTTGAGTTCAAAACAGGTTTGTAAATAGACCAATCAGAGCTGCACAATGTTCTGGAAGGAAGCACTCTGATTGGACTTTATCTGTAAACAGTTATTGGTTGTTATCTGACATATGGGCGTGGCTACCCAAGCCCGGACTGTTTAAAAGAGAGTCTGTTGCTCTATGTTTTTGTCTTCTTCTTGATTTCTTCTGATTACATTGAATAAAGCTGATTCACTGTTCACTAGCTGTGTTGAGTCTCATACTTAACAAGGTGCTACTGGACTCTTGGTCTTTTTCCTACTACTAGACAGACAGACTAACACTCTACCCATCTTGATCTATCTCCACGGAGATGAGCTGTAATTCCAGGGGACCCCCGGTCCCACCCGGAGGCTGGCATCCCTAAATTAAAATGTATTTTCCCAGTGCCAGGATTATCACTTCAGCACGGGGGGGAGGGGGTTTAAAATGGTTGGATACGACTTCCCCGCGAACAAGACAAACCCCCGGAAAATGTCACCCTGAACCGGTTTCACTCTCCTGGCGAGTAGCAACAGCCATTTCCGCCTCCGCGGCCGTTGAAGCTCTAACCGGAAGTAAATCATGCCTTCCTAGGAATCCCGCTGCGCCTGGGTCTCTTTGGTAGGAAATGACACAGGAAGCGAAAGGACCCGAGGAACCAGTGGATTCCTAGAGCGGCCCAATCGCCTGTCTCTTCCCCCCCCCTTTTCTTCCCCCCTCTTCCTGGCAATTGGAGCGTCGAGGAGGGTCGGTATTTTCCCGCGCCAAAAGTGGAGCTGGAGCCCCGCTGAAAAGGGGGAGAGCGAGGCTGGCAGAGAACTACGGCGAGGGAGGCCGGGTGAAGAGGGTGAAGGAAAAGGTAACAGCCGGGTCCGGGGAAGGTTCAGATCGTCTTTATGGTGGCCCTGATCCAAACCCGACTGCTGGTCCCATCGAGCAAGTAGTGGTCCTAGGTGTGGGTAAGACATTCGACCTGAAGTGAAAACAGAAAGTTTGCATCTGTTGAATTAAAGTATCCCTTAGAGGTTAAAGCTTTCAGGGGCAGAAAGGGGGTGTGCTTGCTGCCCCACTCCTGCAGCCGACCTCTGATCCCCTCCCCCCCAGTTATTACGGGAGGGGGGTGTCTTCATGAGGACTGTATGGTGAGGCGTTTGGGGATGCGGGGAAAAGGGGGAGCAGGTGGCCTCGTGAATGGAAATCTCCCCAACCATGGAAACGTTATGCGGGAGCCGAGGAACAAAGTGCATTTTGAGCAGATTTGTGATATTTCTGTTCAGGAGAGTGTTTTTATTGCCACCTGAGATCTGCTTCCCCAGAATCTTGTGAGGGCCTGTTGCAAACGGTAGCTCACAGTAGTGTGCCAGACCCCGACTATGCACAAGAGATTTACCAGTGTGATGACAAAATTAGGGACTTGGCAAACGAAAGAGGTATGCATAGAAAGTGAGGGAGAGGCATGCTTCCTGTAAGACTTTCCCAACTGCAACAGGAAGTAGTTCTTAATTACTTGGAGGGTGCTTGTCAGCGCAGGCTGCGATTTGCACCTTGCGGTAAGAGCTCAAAGATTTATGAAACTTTTACGAATGTGCCAACATCCTTTTAGCAGTTATAAAGCCACTTTGCTCTGGAATAAATATGATAGGTGTTTCCCCCCTAAATTTATTATAATATTCGGTGATTGTAAGGTGCCAGCGAAAGCTCACTCAGCGCTACGGAAGCAGATACTAATAAACCTGAATGTTTCTTAATAAAAGAGGTACCTGAAAAGCAGGGTTCCCTGATCATTTTAAGCCTGTGGGTGCCTTTGGAATTCTGACACAGGGTGGTGGGCACAATGGCAAAATGGCTGCCATGAGAGACAGAGCCAACCACAAAATGTTGGAGTGAGGTTATATGTCAGGTCAGAGGTGGAGTGGCTATACAGTCCATTATTGCTTAGAGAAACGCTGTGGGTGGAAATAGTGGGCTCAAAAGGAAACTTAACTCTAGGAATTTGTTATCGCCCACCAGATCAAAGGTTAAAAGATTATTTTTTAAAAAGCAAAAGAATTAAGGAAAGCGGCTAGATGAAATAACTGTCATGATAGGGGTTTTTTTTAACTACCCACACATTGATTGGGTCAATATTTGTTCAAGTCAGGAGAAAGAGACTGGGTTTCTAGATACTCCCAATGACTGTGCCACGAAGCAGAAGGTCAGAGAACCTACTGGGGGGGAGGCGATCTTGGACTAGATCCTAAGTAATGCTCAAGAGATGTAAACGTGATGGCACCAGTTGGGAACAGTGACCATGATGCTGTTAAGAACAAGTTTGAGTCCAGTGGCACCTTTAAGATCAACAAAGTTTAATTAAAACTTCTTCATCTGAGGTGTACATGCACACAAAAGCTAGAATAACACTTTGCTGATCTTAAAAGTGTCATTGGACTCAAACTTTGTTCTGTTGCTTCAGACCAACACAGCTACCCAACTGAATCCATAATGCTGTTAAGTATAACATTTATCTAAATAGGGAGTTGATCCAGAAGACCAACACAACCACATTTAACTTTAGAAGGGATGACTTTTCTCAAATGAGGGGACTTGTGAAGAAGAAACTGAAAGGAACAGTAAGGAGGGTCATATCCCTTCTGTGAACTATTTAAAATTGCAAAATTGCAGTGTTGGAAGTTCAGATAAAATGCATAGTTAGCCTAGGAAAGGTACAAATAGGTATTTAAAAAGGCCTGCATGGTTAACGGACAAAGTAATGGCAGCAGTAAAAGGTAAGAAGGATTCCTTTAAGCAGTGGAAGGCTAGTCCGAGTGAGGTAAATAAAAGAGAGCACAGGCTTTGGCAAATAAAATGCAAGTTGGTGATCAGACAGGCAAAAAGGGACTCTGAGGAACAGACTGAAAAAAACATAAAGACCAACAATAAAAATATATTCAAATACATTAGAAGCAGAAAACCAGTCAGGGAGGCAGTGGGGCTCTTGGATGTCTAGGGGGTGAAAAGATTACTAAAGGATGATAGGGAAATGACAGAGAAGCTGACTGCATTTTTTGCCTCTGTCTTCACTATGGAAGATGAAAAGTGCTTTTCCACTCCGGAGCTGTTGATTTCAAGAAGGGTGTCAAAAGACTTGAATCAGATTGAGGTGATGAGAGAGGAGGTCTTATGACTGATGGACAAACTAAAAACTGACAAATCACCAGGCTCAGATAGTATACATCCAAGAGTTAAGAACATAAGAGACGCCAATGTTGGATCAGGCCAAAGGCCCATCCAGTCCAGACTGATGGACAAACTAAAAACTGACAAATCACCAGGCTCAGATAGTATACATCCAAGAGTTCTGAAAGAACTCAACTCTAAACCTGTGGATCTCCTGACAAAAATATGCAAATCTATTACTAAAATCTGCCTTTATTCCCGAGGACTGGAAGGTAGTTAATGGAACCCCCTTCTTTAAAAAAGGTTCCAGAGGAGATCCAGGAATTTACAGGCCAGTCAGTCTAACATTTATGCCAGGTAAGTTAGTGGAGTCAGTTATCAAAGATAGAATTAGTAGGCACATTGATGAAAAAAGGCTTTTGAGGAAGCATCAGCATGGATTCTGTAAAGGAAGATCTTGTCTCACAAACCTTTTAGAGATCTTTGAGGGGGTGAACAAAGATGTGGACAAGGGTGACCCAGTAGATGTTGTCCACCCAGATATCCAGAATGCTTTTGATAAAATTACTCATCAAAGGTTCCTAAGTAAACTTAGCTGTCATGGGATAAGAGGACAAGGCCTCTTGTAGATTTAAAAACTGGTTAATTAACAGGAAATAGGGAGTGTGTCTAAATGGGCAGTTTTCACAATGGAAAGTAGCAAGCAGAAGGGTACCATAGGGCACTGTACTAGGTGCTTTTTAATTTGCTCATTAATGATTTGGAGATGGGAGTAAGCAGTGAAGTGGCTACGCTCATGGACGACACCAAGTTATTCAGGGTGATGAGAACAAGGGAGGACTGTGAGGCGCTCCAGAGGGATTGGTCAAGGCTGGATGAGTGAGCAAAGTAATGCACATTGGAGCCAAAAACCCTAACTATAAATACACGTCCAAAATGGAGGTAACTGACTAGGAGAGAGATCTTGGAATCATGGTAGATAACTCACTGAAGATGTGGACTACAATAACAAAGGCAAATGCTGTGCTGGAGATTATTAGGAAGGGGATTGGAAACAGATCAGCCAGTATCATAAGGCCCCTGTATAAATCTGTGGTGGAGCCTCATTTGAAATACTGTGTGTACAGATCTGGTCAACATACCTCAAAAAGATATAGCAGAAAAGGGCAACTAAAATGCTACAGGGGATGAAACACCTTCCCTATGAAGAAAGGTTAAAGAGGCAAGGGCTTTTCAGCCTGGAGAAGCAAAGACTGAGGGGTGACATGACAAAGGTTTACAAAATGATGCATGAGATAGAGAAGGCAGAGAAAGAAGTACTTTTCTCCCTTCCTCACAGTACTAGAGCTCGTCAGTGAAATTAATGAGCAGCAGGCGTAGAACAGATAAAAGGAAGTCCTTCTTCAGCCAAAGAGTAATAACACATGGAATTCACTGCCACAGGAATTGGTGGCAGCTACAAGCATGGACGGCTTCAAGAGGGGATTGGGCAAACATATGGAGCAGAGGTCCATCAGTGGCTATTAGCCACCAGGTATAGATAGGAACTCTCCATCTGGGGCAGTGATGCTCTGTACTCTTGGTGCTTTTGGGGGGCAACAGTGGGAGGGCTTCTGGAGCTCTGGCCCCACTGGTGGAGCTCCTGATGGTACCTGGCTTTTGGCCACTGTGTGATACATGTGGGGCTCAATGGGCCACCGGCCTGATCCAACATGACTTGTCGAATGGCAGTCTTTAGAAGCAGTGCATTCTCTAGTATCTCTGTTTGCAGCCAGGGAGAGAAGGAAATGAGAAAAACAGTAGCAGAATCATATCTGGATTGTAAGAGCTGGATCTTGGGGAAAGGGATTAGTGATGTGATACTGAGTCCAAGAGACCGGCTCACTTCTAAGTAACTGTGCGTTGGAGTATGCAAAGCACATCTGTGGGTGGGATGGGAAGAGGTAGCCTCAAAAAAGGTAAACATCAGAGAACCCAAAATGAAGGCAAGGGAGACATTGACAATGCAACCCTAAGCAGAGTTACACCATTCTAAGCCCATTGATGTTGACGGACTGAGAAGGGTATAAGTACGTTTGGGGATTGCCCTGTCAAGATTGAATCCATTTACTCTGGGAAGTTCACAGACTCTCACCTTTTGGTTGCAACTTGCAGTCCTTAGGCACGCTTAAGGTGAAGCCCTGTTAATCAGTGGTGTAGGATTGGGTCTACACGGTTCCCAATAATTGTGCAAAAGTAGTTGTGTTGGGGGGGTGGGTTTAAGCCATCCAGACAGAGTGACTGCTTAGAATGCTGGACCGCGATCCGGGAGATCCAGGCTTGAATCATAACATAAGAACATAAGAGATGCCAATGTTGGATTAGGCCAAAGGCTCATCCAGCCCAACACTCTGTCACACAGTGGCCAAAATACCAGGTGCCATCAGGAGGTCCACCAGTGGGGCCAGGACATTAGAAGCCCTCCCACTGTTGGCCCCCCCAAGCACCAAGAAGACAGAGCATCACTTGCCCCAGAGCCCCTATCTATACCTTGTGGCTAATAGCCACTGATGGACCTCTGCTCCGTATGCCTATCTAATTCCCTTTTGAAGCCGTCCATGCTTGTAGCCGCCACCACCTCCTGTGGCAGTGAATTCCATGTGTTAATCACTCTTTGGGTGAAGAAGTACTTCCTTTTATCCGTTCTAACCCGACAGCTCAGCAATTTCATGGAGTGCCCACGAGTTCTTGTATTGTGAGAAAGGGAGAAAAGTACCTCTTTCTCTACCTGTTCTTTCCCATGCATAATCTTGTAAACCTCAATCATGTCACCCCTCAGTCGTCTTTTCTCCAAGCTAAAGAGCCCTAAGTGCTTTAAGAGAGCCAGTTTGGTGTAGTGGTTAAGTGTGCGGACTCTAATCTGGGAGAACCGGGTTTGATTCCCCACTCCTCCACTTGCACCTGCTGATGTGACCTTGGGTCAGTCACAAGCTCTTGCACAGCTGTCTTGAAAAAGAGCAGTTTGTGTCAGAGCCCCACCCACCTCTCAGGGTGTCTGTTGTGGGGAGGGGAAGGGAGAGGAGTTTGTAAGCCGCTCTGAGACTCCGAGTGCAGGGCGTTCTCTTCTTCTTCTAACCTTTCCTCATAGGAAAAGTGTTCCAACCCTTTTATCCTTCGAGTTGCCCTTTTCTGCACTTTTTTCAAAGCTATAATATCCTTTTAAATTGTGGTGGCCAGAACTGCACACAGTATTCCAAATCCCCCACTTCGCCATGGAAACGGGGTGATTTGGGGCCTGTCCTACTCTCTCAGCCTCACCCAGCTCTTATGGTGGTTGTGAGGATAAAATGGGGGACAGGAGGATCTTGTAAGCTGCATTGGGTCTCCGTTTGGGAGATGAGTGGGGTCTTAGGTGTCTAACGAAATTAACTTGTACCAGCCGACCAGTTTTTTAAAACGTGTCACAGCATTTCAGGCCGCACAGAACATTTGTTTGTTTGTGTGTGTGTGCGCACCTGTGCCTGGAAGTCATGGCGACCTCTGCCGACTCCTACTGGGGCATGGAGGACGTCCAGAGAAGTGGCTTCATAGCCTGCCTCTGCCTCCTGGCCCTGCTATTCTGTGGAGGTCTCCCACCCAAATACTTGAGGCCACACAGAACATCTTAGTGAGACTTCGGAGCTCAAAATGATACGTTCTGCCCATGCTCCAAAAAGGAGTGCTGTAAAACACGAAACTTCAGCTATTGGCTGCCTCAAAATACACACAAAGACGATGTGGAATCAAATAGATGCCCACTGGGTGAGGGGTTGGTGGGTGTGTTTGTGGAGGGGGAGCTCTGAGTTTTCTGGAACAAGAGGCAATTTGTGTTGTTGTTTTCATTGTTTACAGGAAGCAGGCTTGGCTCAAACATACAGACAGAGCGTTAAGATCAGGGGAACATGGATGCCGGTGAGGGGAACTCAGTCACTGGCTCGGAGGTGAATTTGATCACCAGCTCAGTGAAGAAGAGGAAGTATTATTGCTATTTTAAGGACGAATGGTGCAAGGAAGACGCCTTCAAAAACTGGCTACGGAAGATCGATGGGATGACGGCAGAATGCATCCTGTGCCATCAGGGATTCTCCATCAAGTACGAGGGGAGAAGAGCAGTCACCAGCCACGCGGACAGCTCCAAGCACAGGGAATCAGAGAAGCAGCAGAAAGACCTGCCGCAAATCCCGGTGCTGTTACCCGAAACGGACGAGTACCAGGAAGACATGGTGACAGCAGCAGAACTGGGGCAGGTCTATCACAACATTGTGCACCAGCTGAGCTACGCAAGCCAAGCTTGCGCGTACAAGACGCTCTCGAGGATTTTACCGGATTCCGCTGTGGCCAAAAAAATGTCTTGCGGACTGGCGAAAGCCACCACCATCGCGGAGACTGTTTTGGCCCCCAAATCTCAAGAGCTTTTGTTGAAGGACTTGGAGGAAGTGCCGTTTTTTTCGGTTGGGTCTGACGCCTACAACAAGGGGAGCAGGCAGTATTTTCCCGTTACCATTCGTTACTTTTCAGCGACAGAAGGAATTAAGCATGGCCTGCTTGATTTCTACAGCGAATTGTCAAGCGATTCAGTGGCATCGCGGATTGCCACTATCCTGCAGGAAAACGGTCTGAGCGTGACCCGAATGGCCTCTTACATGATTGATAATGCCTCCGTGGACTTTGGGAAACACTGGGCAGTGTTCCAGGACCTCAAGCAGCTTAATGGTGGACTGATACAAGTGGGGTGTATGGGCCACGTAATCCACAATTGCCTCAAAAAGGCGATGAGGGCGCTGAGTTTTGACGTAGAAACATTCATCTTCAAGCTGTACAGTGAGTTTTCGTCCTCCACCAAAAAGATAGACTCTCTTATGTCCTTTTACGAGTTTGTGGAAACGGAATACAAAGATGTGCTTCAACATGTAACAACAAGATGGCTGTCCCTCCTACCCGCTGTCGACCGTATCCTCGAAAGCTGGTCAGTGTTGAGGGCGTACTTCTCGTCACTGGGGGAGGACGAGTGTCTCAAGATCCTGTGGGAGGCGTTCAGAGTGGAGGAGCACGCGTCTCTCCCGCTTTGTTACGTTCACTTCGTGCACAACCTGATGAGAATTTTTTCCGAGTCTGTGAAAAAACTGGAATGCGACCACATCACTTGCACGGAGCTACACAGCGTCTTGGAAAACCTCCACGCCAAACTCAAGAGGAGGAAAGAGGACAAGTTCTACGGGAAGTCATCCCAAATCATTTTGAGCAACATCTCCGCGTTTGAGAACCGAAAATTCACCGAGGAAGCGGAGAAGACGTTGTCCCGGTGCATCGCGTACCTGGAGCAGTGGTATTATTTTGAAACGTCGATTTTCGAGCAGATGGCGGTGCTCTCGTTGAACAATGAGGTGAAATGGTTCGATCTGGTGACCCTGGTGACAGCCCTCTGCATTGATATTGACATCGACCAACTGTACAACGAGTACTGCGTCTTGCAGAAACTCCGAGAAGAGATTGTCTCCAAGGAGCAGAAAGTAGATCAGCGGTGGGTGAAGGTTTTCCGGCAAATCCCGGAGCGTGCGGACAGCCAGCTGTTGAAGCTGGTCTCCTTTGTGCTTTCCATTCCTGTCTCCAACACCTTCTGCGAGAAGATCTACAATCTCATGGCACAGCTGTGGAGCAAGGACAAAAACAGACTGAGCAACAGTGTCGTGAAAGCAGAGCTGCAGGTGCAGCTGAACTTCAACATTTCCTGCGCAGACTTCCACGAGTTCCTGTACAAGAACCCGGAGTTACTCAGAGCGGCAAGGGGTGAGCAGGAATACAAGTGTAAAAAGGAGGAGCCAGAAGATGAGGACATTCCACAGGCGCCCTAACTTTAAGGTAAAAAGGGGTTGTTATTTCAATAGGTTTTTAAGCCAACGTGGGAATGGTTCTGTGGCGTACAAAGGCCCTGCCCTCTCTGAACTCCGCCCTTTCGGGGCCTTCCCCAGCCTCTGCCGTAGAAGATGCTGCCCCCAAATCTCCCGAATGGCCAAAGCCTTCTGGCTGCCAGTCCCCCTTCTCCCGCTTCACCCGTCACCTGCCAACCCCAGCCTGGCAGTTGGTGTTTTCTGTTGGTCCTCAGGCTAGGAACACCCCCATGAAAAACAAAATCAGGAAAAGAGTAGACCCCTCTCCAAGATTGAGGGGGGGAAATGGGGAACATGTCCCCCCTTTGATGAAATAGTTTGGATCTGCGAAATTTTAATTCATTTAATAGGAGTATTAATTCCTTGCTTTTTAAAAAGAAAATAGGAAATGTGAATTTCCTTTGGGTGATGATGCTGAGCAACCTTCCTCCTGTGTCTCAGCTCAGGTCGGGGTCTGCGATGTGCCTCTTAAAATGCTGTCAGTGGCTCCTGGTTCCCTTGCTTCCCACCCTTTTTAAATCCAAAATCTGTTTGGTTTGGCTCTACTGGTAGCAGGAGCTCCTTTGCATATTAGGCCACACACCCCTAGTGTAGCCAATCCTCCAAGAACTTACAGTAGCCCCAGTAAGAAGAGCTCTGTAAGCTCTTGGAGGATTGGCTACACTAGGGGTGTGTGGCCTAATATGCAAAGGAGCTCCTGCTACCAGTAGAGCCCTACCAGCCAACCAAAAGGAGACAAAACAATGTGCGAGCTTTCAGGTTCTCTGAAACTCTTTTTTCCCACCCAGGCCCATTTTTAATTTTATATCTATAAGTAAAATTTTACGCCATGATCTTGAGACCCCTTGTTCACACCATCTCTGTGGAATGCCAGGTAGGGCCAAATGGATGGGTGCAGAATGATGCTCCCTCTAGGCTGTGGAGTCCTGTGAGCAAAAATTCTACTTTGCGAGCCACTGGCATTAAAGTTGTGAGCCAGCGATTTGGCTACTGCATAGATTAGTTTGCTCTGGAGCCCTCCTTCTTGAGCGGAGACAAAAATGTGAGCCGGGGGCTAAAATACTGTGAGCTAGCTCACACTAATTCAGCTTAGAGGGAACCCTGGTGCTGGATCACATTGATGCAAGACTGCCCCTTGGTATTCTGGGAAGAGGTGGGAGGGGCAGGATGGCCAAACAACAGCCACCTCCAGTTATAAACAGGTGGCTCAGACACCCTCTGTGTAGTCTCTGGCAGCATCCGCCCGCCAGCAGTTCTCTACCGTGAATTCATTGTGCTGTGAATGCAGAGGCATTTGAAGCCGAAACGAAGCATCTACACAGGGGTTATATTCCACAGTCAGTTTCTAATACCACCCTCCCAGTGCCACCAGAAGGCTTTTTTTTGTACTATCAGTAGTTGCTATAGTAATATCACCACTGCCTTTTTTTTTTTTTAAGCTGGCAAAAAAGCCCTCCAGTGAAAAGGCAGGGGAAATGGTGGTTACAAAGGGACCATGGTAGTAAAATGGCTCCAGCGTGGGTGGGAGTTTCAAAAACGTGCGGTTCCCATTAGAGATGTAAAATTTCCGGAAATTTTGAAGCTTGGGGGAAAAAAACGGGTTTTTTCTCCGGGGGAAAATGGAAATTTTCGGAAAAATGGAAAAAATGCTACATTAGCATTTCTTTTGTCTTTTCTAGATTGAAAGTCATTCTGTTACTTTAGGAACATAAAATATGACTATGGACATTTTTACTTGGCATGAAATTATCACAACTAGCATATTAAAAATATAGTGTATCCTTTCAATTATTACAAACAGAATACCCACCCACATGAAACTTTTTTATTTTCTTCTGACAATCGCACCTCCTAAAGGAAGAAATGCATCTTGTTCTTGCATTGGAGAGTTCAGTTTGTAACCTAGGACTTGCTTGTCCTCAGTGCACAGAAATTAGATCAATCTGATACCATATATATATATATATATTAGAAATGATTTGGAAAATATTTGAACACCTTGTCTTAAAATATTTTATTCATCATGTTAAAATAAAACATTCCATAATCAATTTTTTTTCTTTTCTTTTCTTTTTTTCCCAATTTTTCGGAAAAAAACAAAAAAGCTTCAGGGGAAAAACGGGGTTTTTTCGAATTTTTCCGGGTTGTTTCCAGGGCTTCACATCTCTAGTCCCCATCCAGACCGCGTGCTCACCCACCAGGACTGTGAACTTTCAGAAAGGATCATAGCAAAGCAGGGAAAGAGCAGAGCGCGAAGCAGGTGAAAATTTGGGGAGGAGGTCACTGGAAGATGGTGTCATATGGGTACTCGGGGGGAAGTCGGGTTTGGAAGTCAGGGTAGATCGAAACAGCCACGTAGGTGCAGACTTATCATCTTCTCCCCTGTGCAATTTATTTAATGTCATTCTTTTTTCCTCCACCCTCCATTGCCTCCTCTTGAATTCTGCCTACATTTCAGTTGCAAACTCATGGGGGCAAGGCTCTCTTTCTGAAAACATATTTATATGACTGTAGGGCGCTGTATACGCCAAAGGTGCAATATTAATAATAGCGATGTTCAAAATAGATTTTGAAAACTTGACATGAAGGAAGTGGACAGGAAAGGAACAACGTTATTTACTTGTTTTAGGTGTTCATCCTGCCTTTTCCAGAGGAAATTCAACGTACGTACGAACCAGCACATCGTGGTTGCAAATAATAACCCTCAAGAAAAGTTGCTGGAGGACCAAAAACTCTGAGAGAGGGGGAAAGAATCTTGGGTCCCTTGTGAACTGTGGATACCGTCTTCAAAATAATCAGTTAAGTTGGTGGCCAGTGGGACATGAGAAAGCTTACACATATAGTTACAGCATCAAGAATACAGCATCCTTCACCATTGGCTGAGCTGCCGTGATCTCATAGAATGCTGAAAATGTTTTCATTGTTCGGGGGGGGGGGGCAAGTAGTTTGAGGGCACAGATGAAATTGGATGTGATTCCTGTAACTGTTACAAGCTTAATTTGTTTCCTCCAGAAGTGGGTCACGGTCTGAAGCAAAATTAGACAGGAATAGTTTTTAATAACCTAAACCTACACTCTTTGCAGTCTCTCATAATCTACTCCAATCATTTCGGGGACTGACCACTTGTCAGCTGGCCCATCAAAGCATCGCCAGTCCTAATAGAAGTCAACTGGCCATGTTTAGATGGGGCAACTGACCAGTGTGCCTGTCCTAATAGGTGACTGTGATCCATGAAGCCAGTACTGCCAGAGGGGAGGTGCCAGCTGACCATTTTCTGTTTCATTCTTCCATAGCAGAGGAAGGAGGAGGGCGACCCGGCAGCACAGCAAGAGCTCCTCCTATTGGCCACCTGCTATAACTGCAGGGGTCTCACAGCGGGGAAAATCGGCCTTTAAGAATTTACTTTTCTTTTTATTTTGTCTTTTTTGGAAGTTGCTGTTACTTAGCTTTATTTCTTAAAAAAAAAAAGTTTTAATTGAAACTGCAGGCTGACCCTGGTTTTCCCCTATAAAAGCCAAAGGGATTGAGAGTTCACATCTGTAGAACCTTACCTAATATTGTTAAAAAGTTAAGAGTAATTCATTATAGGATTGTTTTTTTAAATGTTTCACAGGAACAGTTGACCAGTTTGTTTTGTTAATTAGCAAGAGTATCAAACCTGCTGATCAAATTTTGTTGCTGTTCTAATAAAGCTTATGTTTAGAAAAAAATGGCTTGACCAGTAGTTGAATAAATCTTATTTTCCCCTGACCAGACAAATGGACTGTCCAAGTAGTATTCAGTAGTTTTCTCTTCTTGATCTCTAACAGAGTTTGAATTTCAGTTTCAGCTTTATGGGACTTCTGTTTAATAGGGTTTCCCTCTTCACTGTATTTATGTGTGACGTCCTTGCTTATTGGGGAGACGGTTTTACCTTTAAAACACACTCTGTGTACATGAACTTGGTAGGTTTCTGCTGCCGCCAGGAATTAAAAAATCCAAATCTCTCTCTTTTGGTAGAATGACCCAGGGTCTGGGCACTTCAGAGGACTATGTGGCCCTGAGGAAGGACTATTCTGATTGCTGGGATAAGTTTAAACAAAAAATGATTTATTTAATAAAGAACAAAATAGGTGTCTGGTTATTTTGAACTGTTGCTGAAGAAAGGAACTTGTAAATATAACTGGCAAAGCTTGGCGTCACAAACAGTCTCTCAAACTCCAAAACTCCACTCTGACAGGCTTAGACACTCAGTCTCATCTCTCCCTCTCATTTATATAGCCACAAAGGCTAAAATCTTTGTCTTATTCACACAGAATAGACTCAACTCTCATATTCACACAAACTGTTTGTCTTATTCACACAGAATAGACTCAGACTCCCATAGTCACACAGACTTTGCTCTCTTTCCAAACTCCACACACACAATCACCTCATAGACACCCCTCCTCCAACACTATGTCATCAGCCAATCATATCACACTTGTCTCCCTCTATCACTCTTCTCATATTACTGCAGTCAAACCAAACATTTAAAGAAACACACACACCAAAACACGAAATCATACATTATGCTTCCTAGAAACTTAAGCTTTGGCCATAATCTGGACATTCCTGTCACACTGTTATCCCACCCCTGTTTCCAAGGAGCTCAGGGTGGCGGATGTAGAGGCTGCACGAGGTGCTGTGGAGAGAGAGAAATCTGTGTTCTTTGGGCTACGTCTGTTTTAGGGAACTTCAGAGAAAGGACACCTGCTCCTGCTGTGGAACAATTTCTGTGCTGCCTCTTCAGCAAACCTGCTCATTAGTGGCCTACTAATAAAACATAATAAGAAAGTTACTAACCTAAGAAGAGCCCTGCTGGATGAGACCAGTGGTCCATCAGTCCAACATCCTGTCTCACACAGTGGCCAACCAGTTCCACTGGAGGCCCAACAACAGGGCACAGAGGCTGAGGCCTTCCCCTGATGTTGCCTCCTGGCTCTCGGATTCAGAGGCTTAGTGCCTCTGAATGTGGAGGTTCCCCATAGTCAGCATGGATAGACCTATCCTCCATTAATCCTCCACTGATAGACCTATCCTCCATGAATCTATCTAATACCCTTTTAAAGTCTACTGTGCCTGTGGCCATCACCAGTGTTCCCTCTAAGCTGAGTTAGTGTGAGCTAGCTCACAGTTTTTTAGCCTCCGGCTCACACATGTTTGTCTTAGCTCAAGAAGGATGGCTCCGGAGCAAACTAACTTATGTGGTAGCCAAATCGCTCGCTCACGACTTTAATGCCGGTAGCTCACAAAGCAGATTTTTTGCTCACAAGACTCCACAGCTTAGAGGGTGCATTGACCATCACTGCATCCTCTGGCAGCAAATTCCACATCTTAGTCACTGTCTGTGTAAAAAACTTTGGAAACTGCCTTGAGCCTGCTATGTGGGGAGGGCGGGATATAAATCGAATAAAATAGAAATTAATAAAATAAGTATTTCCTTTTGTCTATCCTGAATCTACCGCACATCAGCTTCATTGGATGTCCTCAAGATGTAGTATCTGGGGGGAGAGAGAACAATTTCTCTTTGTCAACTCTTCCCCACCCCATGCATAATTTTATAAACCTCTGCCATGTCCCCCTTTGGTTGTCTTTTTTGTAAACTGAAAAGTCCCAGACTCTTCAGCCTTTCCTCATAGGAAAAAATGCTACAAACCCCTTCATCCTCTTGGTTGCCCTCCTCTGTACTTTTTCCAGCTCTGCAATGTTTTTTTGGAGATACGGTGACCAGAACTGTACTCAGTATTCCAAATGAGGTTAACAATTAATAAACTCCTGAAAACCTGTCCAGAGCAAGAACTGCATAAAGCACCGAGCAACTTAAAAACAAGTCATGTAGAACATTTCCTGGGCTAAACAGCAGATTATTGAAATGTCGTTAAAAGACCAGTGAGGGTGACTGGGCAATGTCACTCTGAATGGGCGAGTGGGGGCTTGAATTCGAATCCCCCCAATCCTGCTCTGTCTTACCTTTAAGCAATTTATCCTCCTATGTGGGTTTAGTGTTTATTTATTAAAATATTTATATCCTTCTGATGCTAGGCAGCTTAGACATCATAGTTAAAACATTACAAATTATAACCAATGAAATAAACCCCGGATATCCTACCCCCCCCCAAAAAAAAGATGCCTAACGTCTGTACCCTGTTAAAAGCCCTGGCAAATAAAACGGCCTTGCAGCGTTCTCTTGTGGATAATGAACCACGATCTCAGACTGAAGCTTTGACTGTGATCTCAGCAGCTCTGTGCATGGACCCTTTTATGACACAAGACACGAAGCTTTTCTTGCTTTGGGAGCATTGGTATGGTTTTCCTTTCATTGGTTTTTATGTTCTATGACAGTGGTGGCGAACCTATGGCACGGGTGCCAGAAGTGGCACTCGGAGCCCTTTCTGTGGGCACGCGTGCCATCGCCTCAGCCAGGCCCAGACCCAGACCATCATTAAAGTGTCGAATTCTCTGCCAAAACATTTTAAGTGTTTTTTTCTAAAATAAAACCTCTATTCAGGTTAAATTGCATTGTTGGCACTTTGCGATCAATAAATGGGTTTTGGGTCGCAGTTTGGGCACTCGGTCTCTAAAAGGTTCGCCATCACTGTTCCATGAGATTGGAACTGTACTGAAATGTTGCCCATGCTCAAGAAGGTTTCTCTCCCATGTGTGCCTTCTGGTGATCTGCGAGGTTGACTTTGCAAAAGAAGCCCTTCTCACACTCGGAGCATTTATATGGCTTTTCTTCATTGTGGGTCCTCTTGTGCCTAATAAGTTTATTTATACATTATTCTTCAGCTGACAGAAGGTAATCTGACAGAGCAAGCACTGAAATTGTTTCTGTCCCAGATGAATTCTCGCACGTTTTCGAAGGTCAGAGTTGGAAACGAAGCTTTTCCTACAACTCTGGGCGCTCGAGGGTTTCTTTCCCATTTGGAGCCTCTTGTGAAGAATGACAGTGATGTTTCTGTTAAAGCTTTTCCCCACAGTCCAAGCATTTGTATGACTTCTCTTCCTTGTGTGTCCATGTATGTACAAAAAGGTGAGTGATGCAATGGAAGTTCTTCCCACAGTCTGAGTCTGGGCATTCCTATGGTTTCTTTCCTATGTGGGTACTTTCACTGATAATAAGGAAGAGTTCTGCTAGTAGAGACTTTCCTGGCTTTAGGTCCGAGACAGCTTTAGTGGCACTAGTAGATGATCTTTGTTTAAAGTCAGGTGGGAAACAGTCATCCCTGTAGATACTGTTGTATGCACCGCTTATGAAACACTTTGTACTCTGCCACTGACTAACAGTCAGTCTAACTTAGTAGGTGCACTTAACACTTCCATGGTGCATATGTTAAGTGCCTTTGATGATACTAATCACAGTAACTGAAATCAATCATGAACATATATTCAGATATTCACTTTGGTTCATTGCTTAAATGCATCCTGGGTAAAATACTAAATGCTGACAGGCAATCATACTGCTTGTGGCCTTGCTTGTTCTTGCCAACTATAACTGTGCATATTCCTGGTGTCATTTAGCCTACTTTAGATGAAGAACACACACCACTATGTGCCCGTATTTGTTACAATAGATACTTTTTATCACTTCACAGCTTGGGAAGAAGAAGGCCTATTGTTCAACTGAAGAAGGTATATTTTTGCCTGAGAAAATCCAGCCCACAGGTTGGAGCCCAATCAGAATGGTGTGACGGATATATGACAAAGTTTGATGGAACCGATAATTATGATTTATTTCTAACTGTCATTGTTGTTGTTCAGTCGCACAGTCGAGTCCGACTCTTCGCGACCCCATGGACAATCTCCCGCCAGGCTCTCCTGTCTTCCGCCGTCCTCCGAAGTTGGCCCAATTTCATGTTCGTTGCATCGCTGACACTGTCTAACCATCTCATCCTTTGCCGTCCCCGTCTTCTTTGACCTTCAATCTTTCCCAGCATCAGGGTCTTCTCCAGTGAGTGCTCCCTTCTCATTTGGTGGCCAAAGTATTTGAGCTTCAGTTTCATTATCTGGCCTTCCAGGGAACAGTCAGGGTTGATTTCTTTGAGGATTGACTGATTTGTTCTTCTTGCAGTCCAAGGGACTCTCAAGAGTCTTCTCCAGCACCATAGTTCAAAAGAATCTATTCTTCGGCGCTCGGCCTTCCTTATAGTCCAACTCTCGCAGCCATACATGACTACTGGGAATACCATTGCTTTGACCATGCGGACTTTTGTTGGCAGGGTGATGTCTCTACTTTTTATCATGCTGTTTAGGTTCGCCATCGCTTTCCTCCCAAGGAGCAGGCGTCTTTTAATTTCATGGCTGCAGTCACAGTCTGCGGTGATCTGGGATCCCAGGAACGTGAAGTCTGTCACTACTTCCACGACTTCCCCTTCTATTTGCCAAGGAGTGATGGGGCCGGATGCCATGATCTTAGTTTTTTTGATGTTGAGCTTCAAGACCACTTTTGCGCTCTCCTCTTTTACTCTGAGCAAGAGGCTCTTTAGATCCTTTTCACTTTCAGCCATTAGAGTGGTATCATCTGCATATCTGAGGTTGTTGATCTTTTCCCCAGCAATCTTAATTCCCGCTTGTGATTCATCCAGGC